TTGGCAATTCGAGCAGCTATTATTTTGTTGAAACATCCACGAGAACAAAGTAATTGAATGTAGAGTCTGATAACTTTATTTTCGCGGTGTGCGGTCTGTGCTTTCCCCAAGTTTAATTTTATTTTTAGATCTTTTTTTAGGCGTTATTCAAGTAACTTCGGGCCAGTGCGCGCTGCTGGTGCCAGTCTAATGTTGAAGCATTCTTCTCATTGTAACCGATTCCGATAAGAATGCATTTGTGTGGATAGTATCACTGCTCCTCGTGGGTTTACTCATCACCAACAGTTTGTTTGATCCTTTCCACAAGGAGACAGTCCATTTGCATTTGTAAAAAAATATATATATATTCACTGCTGTGTGACCGAGTTGGTTTTGACCGAGTTGAGTGCAGATAAATTTGGTGACCGAGCTGAGACTTACAATTCGTTTATATGGTCCATGGAAATCGTTAACACCAGGGAACAGACCTTTGACGTAAGGAATTCTGCCCTGAGCTATAACCTTACTATGACCAGTTGCAACCCTTTTGTAACCGCTGTGTTGGCATTAAGCATCTTTAATAGAATTCAAAATGAGAATGACATTTAAAGATGCCAAAAATGTGTATAATAGTATTTTAACAAGTGGAATACCGATATAATCCAGAGCAACTGAGAATATTTGAGATTAATATTGGCAGCTGGGTATCCTCATAGACACCATTGGGGAGCTTTATTTGGTCAATTTATGTGGAATAAATGTTTGATTACTGCCGCTATTCGAAATGTCTGCATAGACTGAGCAGTGTGCCACGTAACTGTTTGGTGATGATGACTACAAGACCCCCAAAGGTTGAGAATTTACTTCCAAATAAATTACTGTCACCATATAATTATGGCTACTCTGGTCTAAAACTATGCCAATTTGTAACGAGCTCTCACCCAGTTAAGCACAAGTGATTGGATGTTTCAGTGAAGTTGTCGCCTGCGTTTAAATATAAGTTGTATGCACTGGAAGAATCGCATTAACTCTTTGCGGTGTTGCAAACATCTAGTTGCTTGTGGTCCGCGGACATGCGTCGTTTTTCTGTTTTGTTTTTTGCATTTCTGAGTTCTATTAGCGGCACCTTTAGCATTCTTAGATTTCTATCTTTAGAATGACTTTTAGGTTTCTGTAAAAAGAAAACGTTTTATAAGCAGTTTAATACAAAGCATTTGCAGTACCGTATTCCCACGAAACAAAACGTCATCGGCATTGTAAATGTGTTGCTATTTATGAGCAATGAAATGTCTGGTAAATATGTAAAATACACTAGGATTTTGGTTGTACCTCTATAAGCAATAAACTACTGCATTATATAGTTTACTTCATGGCCTGCTCTCAACCTAGAAGTCAAATGGATTTCCAGTTCAAATTAACATTAAGGCGGTTACCGTCCCCCGTTTACAGCCCTGAATCAATGGTGGAATTTGCGCATTCCTATGGCAGGGGGAAAGTCTATCCATAGGACAATCACTTGACTTCTCCCAGAGTGATAGGCTGAATCAACCTCCAAACCATCTCTGCAGTGTGGTCGTGCTCTCAGACGTGTGCCCTCTCCTTTGGCTGCCATTCCGTCATCAATCTCATGGACTGGCCGTCAATCCGTATAGGCGTGTCCGTCACAAGCCCACTTCTCGTTCGTGGTCCGTGACTCCGAGTTGGTTTTCACCTCGGGCTGCAGTGGAGCGAGCTTTCACGTTTGACTACGAGGTTTGGGTCTGTGAGCTTAAGCATTTAAAAAAAAACACTTTACCAGGTAAAGGCCTACTGAGCTGTATAGCTCTTTTTCAGAAGTGACCTGGCCACAAATTATCTCAACGAAGTGGCTTATCTCGTGGAAATTGACAGCAGCCAATCATGGGACCTCCGTTGCCTGTACCAAAATATGAGAATAGGTTTTCCCATTTTTTCTGGCAACAAAACAGGTGTTAAGATGTTAAAACACCAAACTGAAACCTTTTACAAGGAATCATGTTACTGCATTAACCACAATACTTGTGGTCAGAATGCAAACAAAAACATACTCTGATAGTATATGCATGATCTTTGAAACTGATTGGTCCACACCAGACGCATGTTTCTGAATGTGGAGGGAAAAACCATCCACACGATCACAGGGAGAACACGACCTCCTGTATACCAGGCGAAGGAGTTAACATCTTGCCACCGTGGCGAAAACGTCAATGCGAAGGGAATTCAGTTCCTTTTTTTTGTGAGTGTGGCAGCGGCAGCTGGGAATGATGTGTACAGATGCAACGTGGCGAGAAGTTAACTACCTCGCTTGGTATGCAGGTATGGGTTGATCCCAACCCTGACTCCTGTATATTTGGGGTTTGCATGTTCTCCCACTAATCGCACGGATTTTTTTTCTCCTCCAGTTTTTCCCTCCACTTTTAGAAACATGCATTTAGATTACTTGGCTACCATAAATTCCCACGTGATGAGCCACTTTGTTGAGCTCTCATTTGTGGCTCGGTCGCTTCTCAAAAAGAGCTGTTAAGCTCAGTGGGCCTTACCTTGCAAAATGAAAAAAAAATGAATTGTACATTTAAGCGTTTAATGTACACGACACAATTCCACTCATTCGTACATGCCACATGGCATCACATGTCGCACAACATGCATTTTATTCCGTTAATATATATTTTTAAATGTATGAGTGTTCACAAGAAAGCATGGTAAAATACAGGATGCTTCAAAAAAATGGTAACACTTAAAGATCCTTTGCAACTACACTACAATAAATGTGTCTCTGGAGGACACCTAGAGAAGATTCCAAGCACGTGTTGACAATGATGGCGAACAAGTAGAGACTTTACTTTTTGAAGCGATTAACATGACATTTTTGATCTGTTCTTTTTCCATTAAAAACGATAGTCCCATATACGTGTTAACATTTCTTTAAAGCACCCTGTATAGGGGTACAGTTCACCAGAACCATCCTTGGCAACATTAAACCAGCCGTATGTTCGTGACATCACCTACTACACATAGGCAGGGTTTCTACATTACGTTTATTTAAAAATACTTGGAAGTTTAAGAAAATGTACATCTGACAAACGTGAGTGCAAAAATACACCTCTTTATTTGCAAACTGACTGTAGTAATTTCCACAGGAGGGTTAAATTAACTATTTCCACGGGGACGGAGTCCGATTCTCACAGTAACTATCCAGAGCGGTGGTTCAAGAAGGCTCTGCTTTAATGCTTTTGTTGGCAATGGGGATCAGTGCATGTACATGGATTTCTCTCACGTGGGGCAGTATAGATTTAGGTTGTGCATCCTAGGTTTTTTTTTTTACCGGGGCCAGCGAGCGCCAATTGTCCTTAAACAACAAGGGGGGGGCAATGCTGCCCGCCGTGAACACGCGGCCGCCCGTGAACACGCCACCACCCACCCTCCCACTTTTGTGTTTGCGGGCGTCACTTCGTTGCGTTCTCGGCAAGTCTGTGCGGCACCGCTCTCGGCCTGCAGCGGAAGCTGGGAGATTCGCGCAAGGTTGCACCCCCCCCCGCCCACCCCCCCCGGGACGGGGAGGGAGGCAGAATCAGTTCTGCTCTTGGCATCCTTCACATGTTCACTTTGAAAGAATTTAACGATCGTTTCGACACTTTCACTGACTGCTGTGCTGTCGCTCAGATCGTCGACTGACGTCAATTCTAGGCATCTTAAAGTTGACACGGGGGAGCGCTGGGATCGTCAAGTGAAGCGCATGAGGAGCCGATGTTTGGAGGGCTTCCCCCTCCTGCAAAACACGATGCAGGGCTTGCCTTGCATTTAAAAAAAATGTGCATTGTTCGAACACAAGTACAGTACTGTAACAGCACAAACATCTACGCGTTATAACCCTTGCCGTGGTTATCACAGTTTGGTGTGTGGCTCTGTTAAAACAAAGGTTTCTTATATTGAACCGTTGGTTACGGTCTGTGAGATTGACCACAGCAAACGAACCATTGCAAGATGCATATTTTTTATTCCCATTCCGTCGGTCGCATGGGGAGATGCCATTGCTTACAGGCAAGCGAAAGCTGTTCACCCAAAGTGCACAATGGAGCCACTTGTACTTGGCGATGTTCTGTGGGAACTGGCATTACAAATGCCAAAGTGCTCTAAATACATTCCTGCTGGTTTGGGCGTATTAATGCCCCTGTTAGTTTGGGGCGTAAGTACGGGCTGCACTCCATGTCAAAGGTCAGGTTCTTGGCAACGTGTGACGCTTGAAGTGGAGAACGAGGGATCTGCTCTGATGAACGCAACCCCTTTGAGGATGCTGCCCCGTGCTCTGGGTTCAGGGAATGTTTGCGACGAGGCCAGGCTGGGGAGGAGGGGATCGTGCTGCTCGCTGTGGAGAAATGCTACTGGCTGTCAGCAAAGGGGCACCTTGTTTTTTTTATTTTAGCAGGTAAGGCCCACTGAGCTATGTATCTCTTTTTCAGAAGCGAGCTGGCTATCGCAAATGATAGCTCAACGAAGTGGCTGGTGTTGTGGAGATTTATAGCAGCCAAATACTCTAAAACGCATGTCGATTCTAAATATGGAGAGGACCCAGAGAAAAATCCACACGGGGAGAACGCGCAAACACCAAATATACAGCAGGCATCGAACCCACGACCTCATGCATACCAGGCGAGGTAGTTAACATCTCGCCACCATGGCGCACCCAGTGGGGGACGGATAACGGGGTAGTAAACCCCCCCACGCCCACCACGCCCAATTTTGTGTGTCACGGATTGGTGGTTCCCAACAGGCGGTCTGCGTACCACTGCCCACCGGCGGCCCACAAGATCGTGGGAATTGCTCCGTGCAGCCGTGACAGATACTACAGTTAAAGTACGGGGGGGGGGGGTTAATTTATAAACATGTTATTGTCTGCAAAAAAAAATTCGGGGTTGACAGAGGATGGGAACTACTGTCTTGAAACGGGTTTTTAACAAATGTAACATTTTAAAATAGATTTATAAAATGCATCCTGATGTGTATTTCATTTGAGATACTTTTATTATTACAATGAAAACGTAATTTATATGCAATCAATTTTTCCCCCTCTGAGATTTTTGGCTGAGCGCGCCACTGGTTCCCAGCGTGGAGGGTACGTGTGTGTGTGTGCGTGCATGTCGAACTCCTATCGCACCGTATGCAGCCAACCCTGCTAATCAGAGGTGCTGGGGGGAGGACAATAAACTAAACTAAAAAAAACTGTTCTAAAGAAATTCGTTTTCAACCAGATGAAAGGGTTGCAAGTAGCAGGCAAGCAGCAGGTCGACAGGGAATAGTGCACTACGGTCGAGGCGTTTCACTCCCAGCAGCAGAGTTTCCCTCCACACCTTGCCGCTGCGGTCGGGTCCAGTTCCCACGCACCGTGATGTAGTCCCACCCTCCCTGGGAAATCAACACGACGCGCGCACACACACATACACACAAAGACAAAGGGCCCCCGTGTAGGCTTAACAGACTTTTGGGACAAGCACCGTTCGCGAGTAGCACCTATGAAGGCCGGCACGGCACACGAGGGGGTGGGTGTCCCAACACCACGCCCGGCCGCCTTTGTCTCCCCAGTGGCGATGTTTACACACCGCACCAGGTACTAATTTGATGCCGAGTCGACCTCGGGGAGGCCCAGGACCGGTTCAGATAATCGTCACTCGATGTTGGCTACGAGCGGGAAGCGAACCTGGGTCTCTGGGTTCGTAGCGCAGCGCACTAACCGCTACACTTCCACTCCCCACACCAATACCCGCCATTGTACACACACACACGTACAGAGACACGTACAGAGACGTGTACAGAGACGCGGGAATTTCAACTCGTGGGGGGCCGTTGACAAACGTGAATTCTTAACCGGTAATTCTGAGCGCTAATATGCATATAGGCCTAAATAATAAACATTACCTCAAGGTTCACCCTGTTTTATGATCATCAGTTTGCAAGGCTTACATTTTGCCTGCAAACTGAAGCCACTGTCAATGTATGAATGTTGAACTTCATTCGCACTGTACGTAGTCAACCTTATTAATCGGAGGTGCGGAAGGACAAACTAAATACAAAAAACAGTTCTAAAGAAATTAGTTTTCAATCTAGATGATTTAAAAGTGCATAGCTCCAGTGGCTTCGTAATATCGCAAGGCAGAGCATTCCAGACTGTCACAGAAGCGCATCTGAAAGCGCGCGTTGAGGTGACCGTCTTTGTTCGATGGTTAGCCAAAAGCCGCTGCAAGGATGACTGGAGTTTGCGTGGTGATGGTTTATGCTCCTTAATACCAGTTAAATGTATCTCAAAGCAAGCATAAGCACTCACGTTTCCATGAATTCTCATTTTGGGATAAAAGCTTGTAATGATTGTTTTTTCACAGATTGCATCACAAATTTAATTGCACGTTTTTTGCTTGACATATGCACAAATCTCGAGAGTTGGGAGCAAAATTGGCATTTGTGACAATTCGTGAATGAAAGAAAGATCAAGTTGGCCGTGGCCAAAGGTGTTTTTGTGGTGTAAAGTAAAAAATACGCCAATTTATTTTCCATAAATATTTACTGGACAAACGACACCAGAGTGCCTATGTACACGAGAGTGGTAACACACACCGTACAGATGGGACTACAGATGGAAATTGATCCACTCGTTATGAGGCTGCAATCATTTTACACAAAGTGCTTGCCATAAATGAACCACAACATAAACCATCTCGTGAACTCCAGTCATCCTCGCAGCGGCTTTTGGCTAACCGTCGAACAAAGATGGTCACCGCATTGCACGCTTTCAGATGCGCTTCTGTGGCCGTATGGAACGCTCTTCGTTGCAATATTAGGAAGCCACTGGAGATATGCACTTCTAAATCTAGATTAAAAACTAATTTCTTAAGAACTGCTTTTTGTGTTTAGTTTGTTGTCCTTCCCCCGCACCTCCGATGAGCACGGTTGGCTACATACGGTGCAAAAGAAGTTCAACGTACGTAGAGCTTCATTTTCATGTTCATTGACTTTCTACAGGGATGACCAAGGCAACGAACCTTGGTCATCCCTGTAGAAATTACACATAACATCCATTCGTGTGCTATTAATAAGAAGCATTACCCGCCAACTATATATTTTGTTTTAAGCATTATTGACAAATCCATTGAGTTTTCATGTACAAATGGGAAGCTAGAGAAATGAGAGAGAGAGAGAGAGTGGTAGAGTATGCAAGTGTACAACATACATATGTCCACTCGCTTTACTGGCATATCCGGGCGACATCGATTCCCACGGGTAGGGGAGGGATTGCTGGATTTACAGGTGTGCAGCATAGCCACCTGCGTGCCGGTGCGGGCTTCATGCTCCACTCGCACCTCTCCCAACCCCTCTCACCCCAATGCCGTAGTCCCAGGACTGTCCCGTGGGCGAGGCAGGGCCCACTCCGGTCCGACAGCAAACGACTCCCCGGCTCGTGCTCTGACTGCCCTGCACAGCATCTGCTATCCCCCACACCTGCACGTAGCACACACATACACAAACACACAGCAAAGACAAAGCTCCCCCATATAGCCTTAGACTATTGGGGCAAGTGCTGTTAGCGAACACTTATCAAGGCCGTTATGGCACACAAGAGGGTGGCCAGAACCACACCCGGCCACCTTTGTCTCCCCAGTGGTCTTATTAACACACCAGGTCATCATTTGAGGCCGAGTCGACCGAAGAAAGGGCCAGGACCAGTTCAGAAAATCGTCACTGGTGTTGGCCGTGAGCGGGAATTGAACTCGGGTGGCCGTGGTTTCTAGTGCAGCGCGTTAACCGTTGCACTACCGCTCCCCACACACAGCACACGCACACAGCATGCCACTGCTGCCACACCTTGACCTCAAAGTGAGTAAGTTGAGATGGGCACCCTCTCCAAATGAGTGTGATTTTTGTAATCGGAGTGCGTGCATATGTATGTGTGCATGTTGAAGTTCTTTCGCACCGCGCGTAGCCAACCAAGCCAATCGGAGGTGCGGGGGATGGACAAACAAAACTAAACACAAAAAGCAGTTCTAAAGAAATGAGTTTTCAATTTAGATTTCCAAGTGCCACAGGTCCCAGTGGCTTCACGCACCTGGTTCTGTGGCCCCACAGACACGAATCGCACGTTGGGAGACACCATCTCCCAGTTTGTTCCACACGGAGCCTGCGCTTCAATGCCACTTCGGAACCACAGCTGATCTGCAAAGTGCAAACAAAGCACAAGGCACGCCACTTTACTCCCCCCACCGCCCCCACTTCACGTGCTCTGCGCCACTTTTGACAAGTGATTTAGAGTAATGAATCTAACCCCCGGAGACGAATACCTTTAAACGAAAGTGCACAAATATTACGGCAGTCTCAAAGCGCACGATAATTAACGCTTTGAGCTCAAATATATTGCAAAGACGAAACATGTTGAAGAAAATGACCGCGATTCGTCATTGCAACGTGACGTTACATGCACAAGAGGTGCGACGTAACAGAATTGCCGCCATTGATCTCTCCCGTTTGCTCTGCAGCAGTCGTTTTGAAGGCGTGGTTGTTCTCTTGACTTAGAAGCTGCCCAAGTCTGAATCGCAGTGCTGGCCACCCCCCAATATATGCAACAGATACGTTCTGTGGAAGTTGCCCGTTAAGCGAGATTCCGTTTATCGAACCCTATACCGTAAACCCTTGTTTATTCGACACATATGGGGCTCTGGCCTCGCGGAATTATCCAACATTCTGAATTATATACAATGGTACTCTCCACAGTGCCTCTTGCCCCTATATATATCTAAAAAAATAATCTAAAATGAGTTTTCCAAACTCTTCACACACCATACGCATCGACACGCACCCTGCATCAATTCTATCCCAAACTTTGTATTTGTCTCGCAGACTAAGGGATTTACTCTTCAGTCCCTTTCTATTACTTCTTGATGTAGGTGTAGACGACATTTCTGAGAGGGTTGGCTTACACAGAGTGCACAAACAAGATAAAGTCCAAAGCGACACCGTCTGCACTAACGCTCACCACGCTCACCACGCTCACCACACTCACCACGCTCACCACGCTCACCACGCTCACCACGCTCACCACGCTCACCACGCTCACCACGCTCACCACGCTCACCACGCTCACCGCCACCAGACCGAGTCGTCGTTTTGGTCGTGGCGTGTGGCGCCGCTCCACGTGTATGCCGAAATTGGACCATTACGGTACGACAATTCGGCTCATGGCGAATTACTAATTCTGTATACATGCCGAATGTGCCAGCTGTGCCAAATTATCCCCAATTACGAATGACCAAATACCGACATAACGAGGTTTTACTATATTTCCATTGACTTGCCATGAAGTAATCGAACACGCGTTCCTGTGGAAACACTTTCAGCCCCAAAGACGTCATGAAATCACAACACTTGAGAATGCAGCAAACATTTTTTAAAGCAAATATTTGATGAAAATTCGATCATTTTTCCAGATAAAATATTAAAATACTAAAAATAAGTTGGCGAAATAAAAAAAAATACTCCACCAAAACAAGCCAAGCTTGGGCATTGGCGTGAAGAGCACAGAAAACTTAATACCTGTCAATCCCTTATCAGTGCCCTACCTTATTACAGACCAATTCAGACCTCACTGGTCACCCCGTGCCCTTATAAATCTCAACGTTCATCCTACAAAGTCCCATCACAAGAGAGAAACACAAACAAATAGACACAAACTTTTTTTGCCCATATTGAAACGGCTGTACACTGTATGGACATGAAAAATCTATTTCCCTGCACAAGAATACAGGTAAATCGTATGGGTTGACAGGTATGAAACTTGTACAGTATGTCACGGAAAACCAGTACAGTATGAAAAGTGCACCACCAAAAAAGATTTATAATTTAGAAAATTCAAGATTCCATAAATGCAAATTTGACAATGTATATCGAATTCCTTTTCTAATTTATGAGTTACATTATCACGAGATTGGTATATTAAGTTGATGTATAACAAGAGATGACTGTATTGAGCAAAGCAATTGTAATGTGATGTAGTCACTTAAGCAATGCAACATAATGAAAACATCTCCAGTGCGCAGTATTCTGAACTTCTTCTTTCGCGCCGTATGTAGTTAACCGCACTAATCGGAGGCGCCTTCTTCTCATCGCGCCGTGGACGCGGCCGATCACGTTCAAGTCACAGCAACCCTCTTGCGCGAGTCAACTTACTTTGCTCATCCACTGCAAACACGGTAGATGGCCCGGCAGAAATGTGCTTCAGCTTCTGTTTAGTGGGTGCAGCAAGATGGATCCAGGTTTGTCCTGAACACACAGGACACATTTCAAAAGCACAACACAGCACAGCCCCGACAGACATATTCAGAATGACTATTTAGACTGTAGGAATCCGATGAGCTATAAAGCTCTTTTTCACAGAAGTACAGTCGGGTGCACGGAGTCAGAACGTTGCAACAGCAAACAACACAAAAACACGATAGGCGTGTAAAAGTACAAGTAAGGTAAACAAATCACCCGACTTATTTTTCGAAAACGGCCTGTGCCACAAATTATATCTCAACAAAGTGGCATTCATAGCAGCAAAATAATCGAAATGGCCTAAATGCACCGTTGGCGCCGCACTGTGTTTTACTATGCCGCCTGGGAGCCCTGCCCAACTGTGTAGAACAACAGAAGAATGAGTGCAGGCGGGGGGGGAGGGGGGGAATCAAATAGATTTAACAACGCACAAATGCCCATCGCGTGTCCACAAGCTCTGAGCCGTATCCACAGCACAAGCTCAAAATAACCGACTGTGTGGCCATTTTCATCGCTGGGAACCACCGAACTTGAACGGCTGCCGCTTGGGATGGCCACATTTTCTCAACTTTTGTGAGTTGTTCTAAATGACAAAATCTATGTACGTTGTTATGATCTTCTTTTGCACTGTACAGAGCCAACCGTGCTCATCGGAGGTACGGCAGGACAATAAAGTGGCCATGCATTAAGTGCTTTTGAGCTGGTGGTGTGGATAAAGCTGACAGCTTCTGTACATGCAAAGCACACCTGTGTGTGCTGTTAAATCTATGGGAGCCCTGTACAGAATCGAGACAGAGGGACGGCGGATGGCGTAAGCTAAAACTACTATAAACTATTTTTTATTTTAGCAGGTAAGGCCAACTGAGTCATATAGCTCTTTTTCAGAAGCAATCTGGCCACAAATGATAGCTCAACGAAGTGTATTATCACCTGGAAAAGTATGGTCGCCAAACACTCTAAACGCGTGTTTATAAATGTGGAGGGAAAAAGCAGAGGACCCGGAGAAAAATCCTCACAACCACGGGGAGAGCGACCACAAACTCCAAATATACAGCGGCAGGCATCAGGGTCGGGATCGAACCCACGACCTCCTGCGTACCAGGCGAGGTCGTTAACATCTCGCCACTGTGGTGCTGAGCCACCTGGCCAGGCGTAAATTCAGCTGGCGCCTCCAAATGCCCCAAAAGCCTTTGATATTAGCCAGCCTCACAAAATGATTCACTCCCTTGGTTTGTCATTCTTGGGTGACTTGAGGTGGCGGGCCCAGCTGCTGTGACCGTACCGACTGGGTTGACGTCCGACACTCCGGTTCGCAGGAAGGCAGAGCCGTCCAGCGCCAGGGCCCAGACTGACACAACGCCGTCGCCGCCACTCCCCACGGACACGGCGACAAACGGTTGGTCCGTGCTCACGTGCAGCCAGCTGCTTCCCTGCGTTGGCAAAACAGAGGAGGGAGAGATCTTTCCTTTTGTAATGTCCCTCAAATGGAAGGCGCAGCCGACGCTACCGCAGTAATTGCAGGGTCAAGTTTACTACACGAGTGACCTTGCTGTTCGCAAGGTAAATATTATTCTTAGGCAGCAGGAGGAGAGTATCCACAGCCCTAGCTGCCTGTAGAGGTGCACACCACTTAATTCAACAGAAACTGTTGGCCTACAAACTATTGTCGGTGGGGGACATTTGCTCAGTTTTTGTCTTAATTTGATAGATGTTTATCACGGTTTGTGAAATAGTTTTCCGAATGGTTTCCATCCACCCGAGTGCAGTGGTTCCCAGCCTGTGGTCCGCAAGGTCGTGGGAATGTGGTCCGTGTCACTGTTGCAGATCCTAAGAATGTTGTCTTCACATCACATTTTTTGCTACATGGCTGTCTGCGAAAGATTGAAGCAACTGCGCAGTTGTATGAGTATGGGGGTGTGCCTGGTTACTTAATGCTAGCCACATTGTATCGTAGGATATTAAGTTACATTTGGAAAATGGCGGGCAAATTTTATTGACAAAAACAAAACCCGAACAGATATGTATGCAGAACTTCTTTCGCACTTTATGTAGCCAACAGTGCAAATCAGAGGTGCAGGGGAAAGGCAACAAAAACTAAACACGAAAAGCAGTTCTAAAGAAATTCGTTTTCAATCTAGATTATTTAAAAGTGCACAGCTCCATCGGCTTCCTAATATCGAAAAGAAGAGCGTTCCAGACGGCCGCAGAAGCGCATCTCAAAGCACGCGATGCGGTGACCGTCTTTGTTCGGCGGCGAGCTAAAAGTCGCTGTCCGGCGTTCGCGTGGTGATGGTTTATGCTCCTCTACAGGTACACAACGTCTTCCACACACAGCTGCTTTAACACAGAACAGCCTCCCAGACGCACGAAACTGTCCCAACCAATGTCAACCTTCACTAAAACTCACTTCTCACGTCACCAACCATCACAGCGAGAGCGCATTCTACGCGAACCGATGGTGTGCACCACTTAATAGTTTACGCATTTATTTATTTATGTGTTTGATGGGGAGTGATAATTATCACGTGATTATAATCATTGCGTGAATGCGTATCGTGCAAGTTACAGACGCATAATGTCTGCATGTGTTGTCATGTCACGTTTGCTACGCTACGTGTCAGACGCACTTGCAAGTGAGACAATTGCATCTCAAGGGACTATTATCCAGGTGCAACAGTGTATAATTAACAAATGCGATTTCATACACAATTAAGAGTGGGCTGAACACCCTCCCCCTACCCTCGGTCATTCCTTCGTGTGTTTAGTTATCTCTCCACCCCACAGCCCCTTTTTCCCTCCCATTGAAATCCCCATCTCCACCTGCCCTCCCACTGTGTGGGTCCCCATTTGGCAGGGGCAGCAGGCCCCTATTCTCTCTCTCCTTCTCGCCCCCACCCATTGTGCGCTCCTGTTGCGCCGATTCGGAATTTCCGCGGACTCTCTGTAAACCCCCTTCAATCGAAGTCCTTCGGCGTGATGTACCGGCCTCGTGTTTTGTTGCAACTTAATAAAAAAAATATTAGAATAAAAAGTGGACTTGAAACCGCCCAGCCGGATGACAGCTGCGGGCTTAGGGAACGGCGACTCACGGCGGGACTGACGCGCGAGACGCCCAGACGGCACAGCACGTCCCCCTTGCGGCTCACGGCCCAGAGGGCGACGGGAGAGTCCGCGGGCGCTTGTGGCGAGGTGGCCTTCAGGGAGAGGTGGCGCAGTGACAGTGGAGGGACCTCCAGCCACGGGCCGTTCGTCACCAACCTGCACCGCCTGCACACCGCCTCGTCGCGCTCAGCCAAACCCGTTGCAGACACGAAGCATTCATACGAGAGCACTTGGCCGCGCATTTGCGTGGGATGTAACTTCACCGCGAGCCCTCGGCCGTGCACGCATTAAGGATTAGATGCCAAGTGCGATGACGTCATCAGTGTCATCAAGCCCGATCGGTGATGTCGCCGCAGTGAAGCCATAGATGTTGTCATCACTGTGGCTAGGAGATGTTAACTCCCTCGCCTGCTATGCAGGAGGTCGGGGGTTCGTTGCGGACCCTGACGCTTGCATATTTGGAGTTTGCATGTCTCTCTCCCCGTGGATTTTTTCTCCGGGTCCTCCGGTTTGTTACTCCATATTAAGAATCGACATCACGCGTTTAGAGTATTAGGCTGCTATAAATTTCCACGCGATAAGCCACTTCGTTGCGCGATCGTTTGTTGCCAGGTCGCTTCTGAAAAAGAAGCTAATAGCTCATTGGGCTTTACCTAGTAAAATTTACTAAAATTTGTGATTGGCACTCCTATCTTGTTTTTGTATTGTTTGTTGTTGTAACTTTCTGACGAGCCCCTACTGAATAATTGTGAAAAAGAGCTTCATAGCTCATCGGATTTCTCCAGTATAAATAAACATTTTTATTCTGTTTGAGGGACAGTGCCATCGTGGGGAACGAGTTTAAATGGAGAACTCAACTTGCAGACTATTCAAACAATAAAAGATGTTGGTTCCCATTGGATTTTTCTAAATTTCGGGGGCAAAATGTTGCTAATTCTTAAGAGCGAAATCTTTAGGGGAACGTCCCCACCAAGAGAAACATGTTTTTTTTTTGCGTTCGATGAATGCAGAGCGCGTCGCTCCGCCGTCTCTGCAGAACGGTAAAAAAAAATGACGCTCGTCATTTAATACCTTGCAGTGCAATTTTTCTGGAGATCTAAAGCAATTACCTTGACCAGCGTCGCCTCCGCACAAAATCCTTGATGGTCTTGTATCCGTGGTACCGCCTGCGCACACAAGAGCCAGCGCGCCAGTCCGGTAACGCTGCCACGGCGAGTGTTGTCATGAGCACTTCCACTGCTGTACTGCATCAGCCAGCCTCTTGTTGCACCGATTCGTAACCTAACTTTATTTTTGTCACACATCCGGAATGTTTAAACGTCTCGTGCAGAGGTCGGCAACCAAAATAACAAAAGAAGAGCTATATTTTTTTGTCGAATATGGTACACAATCTATATGTCAAGAGCCGCCAATGCACGCGGATACGTACGTACGTACACAATGACATCACAAAGCAGTCCATATAGAGCCGCATTCGGCTCCGGAGCCGCGGGTTACCGACCCCTGGCCAAGTAGGTGTACGCTACGTCTTCGCCATCAATGCTGAACATCGGTCGCATCTCATCATCTCACTATATCGCATTGGTGGTGCTCATAAGAGCACAACCAATGCGATATAACACATGTCAGGAATTGTAAGGCTCCATCCCAATCCAAGCCCGGGTCGTTCAGCCGCAGGAGCGAGCGGGTCGCAATACGAAAAGTAAAAATCCTGGTCGGCGGATCACTCAGCACACCGTCCCTCCGGGGTCGATAAACTGGAGTACCACTTGAGTCGACAGTGGTTGTCCAATGGATGGACTCGCCGCCCCACCATAGCAATGTGTCATTTCAACCACCATCACAGGGTTGTAAACGGGGGGTGAGCACCGATGCCTCACTGCTCAGAGCAGCAGGGAGCGATGAGGACTCGCCACTGAATGGGTGAAAGCGAGCAGTGGCACTCACGCTGGGAAGTCGGCGGCGTACTGCCATCCCTCGCGGTCCGTGCCCCCGGGTACCCCGAAATCCACCGCCCAGTCTGACACCTGCACGGTCGCGAGCGCACAAAGACAAAGATCCCCCGTATAGCCTTGACAGGCATATTGGGCAAGTGCTGTTAGCGAGCACCTATGAAGGCCGACATGGCACACGAGGGGGTGGGTGGCCAGCACCACGCCCGGCCGCCTTTGTCTCCCCAGTGGCGATGTTTACACACCGCACCAGATACTCATTTGAGGCTGAGTCGACCTAAGAGAGGCCCAGGACCGGTTCAGATAATCTTCACTGGTGTTGGCCATGAGCAGGAATCAAACTCGGGTCGCCGGGTTCGTAGCGCAGAGCGCTAACCCCTACACTACCGCTCCTCCCTCACACACACACATGTACACACACGTACACATACACAAGCAAACAAGCAGGTGGGCAAACAGTAACGAATATGTTGTGCATACGTGCTGTAATTGGGTTTTCTCAAAGCAGTTTCTGATTCCTAATTGGCATAACACTTTGGGTAAATAAGACACAATTGCCCTATAGAATTAATGTGTTGACAATAAGGTGTAGGGTTGTGTTTGGCTTAAGACTCAGCTGTCAGAGTAAAGGATAGAGAAGTTGTTTGCAAACTGTGCATATATGTGCAACTTATTTCACACCATACATAGCCAACCATGCTCACATGAGGTGTGCAGACCATTGGTGCTTCACAAGGCTATGGGAAGTGGTCTATGCTACTGCCTATTGTACTACTATTGAGATTTTATTGATGACCCATCAACACAGCTGGCTATTGGACTGAATCTGATAATTGCTGGAATTGGTAGGGGTCATTTATATATTTTAAGAAAGTGTTATTGGTGCACAGTGGTCCGTAATTAGTAATGGTGGGTTGGGAACCACTGGACTCAGTGAGGCCTAGGATTTTAGGATATGGTATTGCAAGTATAAATACCCAGGTCCACTGTGGTGAAGGCGGCTTTGTGTGAGTCTTTGTACGCTCCTGCAGCCCTGTGATGTCACTCCACATGTAGCGATCAGTAGGCAAGCCGCTGTCACACGGGAGCACAAATGCCACGCACACACAAAGCACACACGCTCGCAAAAGTCCCAAAAAAGCTTCCCCAGTACGCCCCGACTGCAGTGGTCCGCAGGGCCGTGGGGGAGTGGTCCACAGAACTACGGCAGGCACTGCGGTTTAGGGTACAGGGACTCCTCCTACTTACGAACGATCCACGCATCAGTAACAACAACAAAACAACTCAACAGAGTCGTCAATAATTACACTGTGGCTTAAAAATAACAAAAATATAGAATAGGTGAAGTTTTTTGCAATGGCCCTTCTTCATAGCACACAGATGTAGTCCGGAGAGATAGAGTGGATATAATAAGAGCTGGAAACTGCAATTTACACCACAGGGCCATGTAAAAAAAGTTTTTAAATTGGCATATAAATAGTTACATATTAATCAATAGCGACTGAGTAACAGGCAAACCCTTGAGTAATCAAAAATGCATCACAAAATAAACGAATTTGTATTAAAGTTTACGCTACTGGCACATTGCACGTTCAGCAGGGAATCAGTTTAGTTGCAGTGAGGTCGACAAAGCAACTGTGAGCATCACTCACTTTAGCGATGCATGACTGGGCCCAGCTTTCACTTCACTCGGATTGGAGAGGCTCTTAAGAGACGTCGCGATCAAACAAACACGTCGCTAAAGTAGCGGTGACGCCCGGCCGGGAAGGACGAGCGTAAAAATAAGACAAAGATCCCCCGCATAGCCTTCAATAGACCGTTGGGACAAGTGCTGTTAGCGAGCACCTATGAAGGCCTGCACGGCACACAAGGGAGGTGGGTGACCAGCACCACGCCTGGCCGCCTTTGTCTCCCCAATGGCGATGTTTACACACCGCACCAGGTACTCATTTGAGGCCGAGTCAACCTAGGGGAGGCCCAGGACCGGTTCAGATAATCGTAACCGGCATTGGCCGCGAGCGGGAATTGAACTCGGGTTGCTGGGTTCGTAGCGCAGCGTAGCGCTCACCGCTGCCCCACCGCTCCCTGCACACAAACACACACCGGGCAGTGTAGCCCGACAGCGGGTTCCAGCGCTGGTTCTCGTAGATGTACACCTGTATCACATCCGTCTGGGGGTGCATGCCATCCGTGCTCCCTGAAGCGCAACAAAAACAAAAAGACAGATGCACGTGCCTGTGCATGTATGTACGGGTATGGGTGTGCCTGGTTACTTAATTCCTAGCCACCATTGTATTGTGGAATATTAAGTTACATTTCAGAAATGGCAGGCCAATCTTATTGGTAAAAAAAAAAAACCCTAACAGGTATTTACGTACGTCGAATTTCTTTTGCACCGTACGTAGCCAACCGTGCTAATCAGAGGCGCGGCGGGGGGGGGACAAACTAAACAGAAAAATATTTTCTAAATAAATTAGTTTTCAACATTGATTTAAAAGTCCATAGCTTCAGTGGCCTACACAACGCAACGGTTGGCAGCTAAGGACTTTAGTTATACTGTACTTCCCCACGCGCCTTTTGACTTATTTTAAAGGACTGCTGTCACCAACACTGTGTTTGAGTGCTTGAGCCTGCCGAATCCAATTACAATCACATTTTTTTTTACGAAACTGAAAATTTCACTGAGGTTCGATTAATCTGGCTCAGACTGTAGCTGCCCAAGAACATGACTTGAGGTGGCTAATCCACAATTACCCCAGCAGGAATTCTAATCAAAGCGGGAACTTAATTTGCACGCTTGTGAACAGAAATATTACGTAAACAGAGGAATAAGAATATGGACAGATTTACACCGTATATATAAATAATAACTCGCTTGGCCCAAAGTGTCTTTAACGCTCCTTGCTGTGTCACAGTGTGACTTGGAATCCTGTCGTGGATTCGATTTGTATAAAACTGGTCCACCACATTTGGGCCACCTAAAAATATGTTGAAAATATGTTGAAGAAATGTAGAGATGTCTGCAAGTGAGTAGTCTTTAAGCATGGGTCTCAAGCGACCTCCCTAAAGCAGTAACAAAAAAATCTCAAATTATCTGGACGCAAAACTATCAGAAAAATGCATCCCTTAGGAGTATTTTTGTGAAAACATCCCACACTTTTTGAGTAATTAAAACATTTCCCCCGAATAATCCCTTGGGATGAAACATCTCATTTGCAAGTGTGTCTGGGGTGTCACTTAACACATACGTTGTAAACCCATTATTGCTCTTCGAGGCTATATTTGTACAACGATAACGTACAGACCAAGTGAGGTCGGACACATGTCCACGGTTTTAATTGGGGATTTCTCCGAACATTCGACGCCCCCCGTTATGTACTGCGTGGGTGGCCTGAGCGTGTTACCCTGCAGGAATCCTCCGCCGTGCCCGCCCGTGTACACCCAAGCCGTGTGGTCGTAGCCGAGGCCCCACACCACGCCACTGCCATCACTCTCAACCAGCCGCAGGTGGCCACCGATCTGCCGCCAGAACCTGGGGTGGGACGCGCACAAACAAAGACAAAGACGCCCCCCCCCCGTGTAGCCTTAACAGACTGTTGGGGCAAGTGCTGTTAGCGAGTTGCACCTATGAAGGCCGGCACGGCACACAGAGGGGTGGGTGTCCAGCGTCACACCCGGCGGCCTTTGTTTCCCCAGCGGCGATGTTTACACATCGCACCAGTTACCCATTTGAGGCCGAGTCGACCTAGGGGAGGCCCATGACCAGTTCAGATAATAGTCACTGGTGTTTGGCCATGAGCGGGAATCAAACTCGTGTGGTCAATGCAGACTTTATGCCTTGCAATAGGCTTTTATTTGGTATTTTAACATCTTAACACCTATTTTATTGTCAGAAATTGTTATTTCATGGTGTTTCTTGATGATGCAGGCAGTGATGAGAATGCAACTGGCACTATTTGGAAACGTATGCAGCATGGACAACATGGAAAAGTAAAATTGTGTTGTTTGGAAAAATGGAAGGAACCGGTAAGAGAAGACCGAACAGAGAATGGCTTGACGACAACATGAGAGATTGATGCCATCAAGATGTGGCACTACTTGAGCATGTTAGCACAAGACAGATTGAAAGTGGAAACAAATGACGAAATGTGCAGGGGACATCCCACGGGCTATCTGCACCATGGATCGTGATGATGACGATGATGCTGATGATGACGGTGTAGATGTATGCAGCGTACATATGGAGGGCAGAGCTTGGGCTGGAGGAAGCCTCGGACGAGCACTCGCTCACAAACACGTCGCCGCGGCAGGTGACGGACCACACGGCGCGATGAGAGGGGCTCCTGGAGAGGCCGCGCGCCTCGCAGCACGCCGTGTTCAGCACCGCCAGCTGATGGCGCGGCAGCCGGCAAACCGAGGCACAAACACAGAGCACGGACACGTTAAGCCTTACCCGTTTCTGACGACTGTAGGCGTGCGTGCCATCGTTGTTTTTTTTCTTCTTCCGGTTCCGTTCCGATGGCGTACGGTTAACACGGTTGGCTTACGTACAGTGCAAAAGAAGTTCAACATACATACATACAAAAATTAAAATATAATAACTTTATCGGTCCCGAGGCTCCCACAAGGCCATGCGTGGAGGGCACCCACCCTGCAACTTTCAGACGTCTCAGAACGGGACAGGGTTAAGCATGCATAGAGGCACCAAAGGTTTGCACAAACACACACCCACTACGCATTCTTACTCCTGACATCCTTTACAAACGTTTAAAAAAAAAATTGTAGTCTCCGGGCCAGATGCACACCTTCACGAAACGACCGAAAGATATCACCTTGGCGATTTGCGCCCCCCCCCCACCCCCTGCCCCCCCCATCCCCCGCCCCCCAACCGTGTTGGCAATGGCGACCTTGGAAAGCTTGAACACAAAGTCGCAATGACAAATTTTGCCACGTCGGCTCAATGTCCTTTTATAGACATACCCTCGAAACGAACGGGTGAAGGGAGAGGGCTGAAACTCACCCAGTCGTGCATGTCTTGCTCAGTTGCAGCAGCCAAGCGTATGGGCGCACGCGATTCCGTGCGCTCCGCCGTGTACACAGCAAAGGTGTGCCGATTCGTGTCCAGCACTGGCACCAGTGCCGTGATCTCGCTGATGAAGATGTGCAGGTACTGCGCTCAGAGCCGCACAAAAAAGGCAAAGATCCCCCGCCCTCTATTATACTCGAAACGGACTGTTGGGGAGACGTACTATTGGCGAGCACCTATGAAGGCCGGAACGGTATTCAAAGGGGGTGGCTGGCCAGCACCACGCCCTTGCCGCCTTTGTATTTTTATTGGCTATGATTACACACGGCACCAGGTACTACTTTGAGGCTTAGTCGACTTAGGCCCAGGACCGGTTTAGATAATCGCCACTGGTGTTGGCGTAGCGCTAACCGCTGCACTGCCGCTCCCCGTAACATTGGTAGCCGCACAAGCACGAAAGTGCGCGCGCACGCACACACGCGCACGCACACACGCGCACGCACACACCCAGAAGACACCACTATGCAATAGCATCACCGACAGGAAACACCATGGATGAAGGAATCAACAATGGAGGGAACATTTAAAAGACCTTCCCTTTTTCTGTGGAATTTTATTTAAAGTTCAGCATCTTTTGACAGGAAGTTACTCCTGTGTCCTACTCTCCTCACAAGCACAGACGGCTCGCTCGTCTGTGCTTATGAGCCTGGGCCGTGGGCATCTACAGAAGTGCGCACCACCGCACAGCACCAGCCTAGCACCAATGCACCGATAACGACAGGATACGGTTGCCCCCATCCCCCCCCACTCTTCGCTGCCCTTTTTCCATATATTCTTCGCTCGCCTTTGAAACACCCTGTCCCTGATTGTTCCCCCTGCCATGATAGGGCGGTGAGCCGGAGTGCTCTCGTCCGTTCTCTGATCGCAAGGATGAAGGAACGTGTCACGTCAACTGTTCGTTTGTTATATCTCGCCCTTCCTCTTGTTATTCCTTCAATACCCTCAGCTCTTTTGAAAGAAATATTTTTTTTTAAATTGACAATACAAAAAAGGACAGGACGAGGACTCTTATTTTCTGCGGACGGCACGGCTGTGGCGGTGGAGTTGGCGGTGGACTGCAAATCAAAAGTTTGTCGTGGGACGTCGGCCACCTTCTTGGTGGTGCCGACCATGTAGTGCAGGAACAGCATGGCCTCGGGTCGCTCCTCTGCGCCTTCCAGCTGCTCGAGCAGCACCGTCAGGTCGATCCAGCGCTGGGGATACCAGTCTTGCCACCACGACAGCACGCCACGCCTCACCCACACCGTTTTCTGTGAGCACACCGCGCAAAACAGAATGGCTGTGAACCAGGGGCGGGACAAAATGTAACAGACCAAGAGACTAAAAGTACCCACAAAGAGCCAAGTGTATACATAAGTGTCTATATATTGACAGTTTTCGGCACGGAACGGGAGACATTCATTATACTTTGCTACTGTGATAGTATGTTCTTACGTTACGCCCCTTCGATAGAGCCGTGGATTAAAGAGCCGCATGCGGTTTGGGAGACGTCAGTTGGCCACCGCTGCTGTAAACACCGCAACCGGCATAATCGTCGCCTCCCACGGGCGTGGAAACTGCGAGTACCTTGTCTGTGGCCGGCTGGTAGTCCTCAAAGTTGGATATCTCTCTGAGCGAGCGATTGGTCAACTGCTGCACGATGTCCCTCCTCCACGCGGGGTCGCGTACAGGTCCGCTTAGCAGGGAACCTCGTGACGAATGCACATCACACCGCATTATTATACGTCATACCACTATTTAAAACTTTTTATTTAACCAGGTAAGGCCCACTGGGCTTTGTAGCTCTTTTCTTTCAGAAGCGATCTGGCCACAAATGATAGCTCAACGAAGTGGCTTATCATCATGTGGAAATGTATAGCAGTCAATTACTCTAAAAAACACATGTTGATTCTATATTATGAAGGGAAAAACCGGAGGACCAGGAGAAAAATCCACGTGACCACAGGGAGAACATGCAAACTCCAAATATACAGTCGCCAGGGTCGGGATCAAACCCACGACATACACACTTACCATAAAACAGAATATTAATATTTGTGTCATCAACGAGGCTTCATTACATCATGAACGAAAACCAGATATTCCATTTCTACAAACATCCAATCTGTGGCCTTATTACTTACGATCATGCCAATGCTCTGTCTGCGGTACCTTTTACAACAGTGGATGCGGTGCTTCCGAGCACCGTGCTTGGCGCTACGTCGTCCCTACGCTACTGTTGCCATGTATCGGGAGCATGTCGGCTTATTGTCAGATCGTACCACATATTGCATCGTGAATCTTCAATATTCACCATCCCGATTGCAACGTTTACCAAGTGCCCCAATATATTCATAACTTAAGTTGGTTGATCACTGTAAAATAATAATTTGAAAAAGACTAGACTGTACTTTAATGTTTCCTACATTGCTCCATAACAGAAAGTTGTCCATGGAATCAAGTTGAAATATAAAACATTCCACAAATGACCGCTCCAAGGACTATCCGGCCAGATGGCTCAGCGGTAGGAAGAGTGGCTCGCAATTAGAAGGATGCGAGTTCAAATCCTGGCTTGGGGTTGACTCAGCCCATTGTCCATTGTGGTTAGCTAAAATCAGTACCACTTCGTGGGGAAGCCAACAACGGCTGTAATATGTAGTCACTCAACCCCGCCACAGGAATGTGGAATTTCAACCACTGGCTCAGGGCTGTGAACAGGAGATGAGCACCACCAATGCCTCAATGCTCAGTTGAGCAAGAGATCAGTTCGAATTTGTATTCCAATAGGCAGACCGGCAAATGTGTGCACATGAGAACATAATTCTTTGATGTGGTGTACTGCAACACCTGTGGATTGGATGAACCACAGCGGTTGTGATTGGCTGTCGATATCGCAGGCTCCAGTGCTCACCCAGGCCCAAAGGAGGCCTCTGTCCATATTCCCGAGCGTGTCGCCACTGATGCTCCCTCCCCCCAAGGAAGACACACTGCCGGCATCCATACAGTCTTCACCGGGACCCGCAGCCAATTCTGCCCTCGGTGTCGGTGTTATGTTGGGCTTGCTGGAGACAGCTGTCGCAGGTGTGAGGGTGCTCTCAGTGCCTCTGTGCGACTGCTGCGTGTCCTCGGTGGCCATCAACGTAAAATCCGTATCATTGCTTTCAGCGGCATCGTCCCCACTGCTCCTCAGGTTCATGTCAGCTAAACTGTTCAACGGAAACAGGAAAAACGCACATTAACTAATAACCACCTCCGATTAGCATAGTTGGCTACGTACAGTGCGACAGAAGTTCAACAAACTGCATACACGTGACGAACAGATCACGGGAGGCTTATAATTATTAGGCTGAGGGTTAATTTCTCTAATTTACTGCCATAGAACCTCTCTTAACGACGGTAATTTGCTCCACGAAACCGGCTGTTAAGTGATTTGGTCGTTAAGCGAGTACAGGAACGGAACGAATTAAACGCTAAAGGTTTAATTCGTTCCGGTAGCATCTAAAGTTACCCCAAAAAGTACTTTATCATATTTAAACAATGGGCATTAATACATAGAGATACTAAGAACATTATAAACACATAATATTTAAAATAAACATGGTTAATCATTGCAAGAATTTATATTTACTATACCTACAACAGCCCATCGTTAACAGGGGAATAGTCGGTAAGCGAACACATTGGGCTCTATGGAGGCCCTACACTACTATACACTACACTATACACTACTACAACATTCACATTGGGCTCTATGGACGCCCGTCATTAACCAATTAGTCGTTAACAGGGGTGGCCATTAAGAGGGGCTCTACTGCATTATGCTTAATTATCCACAAAAGCCATACCGAGTCTTAAAACTATATTTCAGAAGGGTTTTGCAAATGTTTCAGTCGGAGGTGTTGATTGCTATGTGTTTTCCAACGAAGTATTTTCATTTAACTTAAACAAATTTGGAATACTCTTCTTTGAATAACATGATAGAAGCGTTCATGTTCACTTTGAAACAGACGGTACATATGTATGCTTAATATACCCACAGCAATAACCAGAGCGGCCAGCCAGAATCGAACCTTAAAACTTTTGCTAAAAGCCACGAAATTATGCTGAAAACTATATTATGTATCGGTTGACTTCCATATGTATCTGTGCACTGGCCAAAAGTACGTGTAAACAAAGTGGTACCACCTCGCTAGCTTTTGTATACCTTATCAACAACAAACTAGGGGCCTTGGATATTCTCTAAATAAGCAAACACAGTATCTCAAAATTACATTATGCTAAAAAAAAAAATCTGAATTTGTTTTTTCCAGAAAAAGCTTGGTACCAGATTAAAGGCACACGCATCGTGTAAATCATTCATTTCCACGCCACTTGAGGAATTCAACACATTATGCTGAAGAGCTGCTACGGCACCCCTGTCGTTCAGGTGTGGGAACCTGCTATAGCATCACTGCCCATCAGGTGTGGGCATCTGCTATAGGATCGCTGCCCATCAGGTGTGGGCATCTGCTTGAGCGCCCTTGCCCATCAGGTGTGGGAACCTGCTATAGCATCGCTGCCCATCAGGTGTGGGAACCTGCTATAGGATCGCTGCCCATCAGGTGTGGGCACCTGTTCAGACTGGTGAGGCTGCTCCTGTGGGAGCCGCCTGCTGCCCGCTCCACGCCCTCTTCCGCATCGCGCCCGCACAGTATGGGCTTCCACACCTTCCCGCTCGCCTCGTCGGCACACACACCCTGACGGAAGTACACCATCCGGTCTTCCCGACCCACCCCAAACACCTGGCACGCACACATAAACGCGCGCACACACACAAAAAGACAAACATCCCCCATATAGCCTTAACAGGCTGTAGGGACAAGTGTTTAGCGAGCACCTATGAAGGCCGGCACGGCACATGAGGGGGTGGGTGGCCAACGCCACGCCCGGCCACTGCTGTTTCCCCAGTTGCGATATTTACACATCGCACCAGGTACTCATTTGAGGCCGAGTCGACCTAGGGGAGGCCAAGGACCAGTTCAGATAATCGTCACTGGTGTTTGGCCATGAGCGGGAATCAAACTCGTGTCACCAGGTTCGTAGCGCAGCGAGCTAACCGCTACACTACCGCTCCCCACTTCTACACACGCACACACCTAACCACAAAATACTGTATGGCAAAGATTATGACCGTGCTCTAGTGATTGATTTAAGCCGAACATGTAACAAAACAATGTTGGCGTTACGTAAGTTCACCAACAGTTGCGTCTGGAGCGGTGCCACGTATAAAAAAAATACGTGCAATTTGAAGACTCGTAAAATAAGGGCCACTTCGCCACACCAGATGACAACATGGGAAATGCACACACGTCGAACCGACAGGCCGTGCACACACCTGATCGTTGACCCCCACGCTGACCATCATCATCTTGCTGACCATAGACACCCAGCTGAGGCCAGCGGGACTGTCTGCGCACACGCCACGGCGGAACCACACCTGAGCACACAAACATCGCCACGGCGGAACCACACCTGAGCGACAAGTGATAGCTCAACGAAGTGGCTTATCACGTGGAAATGTATAGCACCAAAATAATATAAACGCGTGATGTTCATTCTCAATGTGGAAGTAAAAGCCGGAGGACCTGGAGAAAAAAATCCACGCGACCACGGGGAGAGACGTGCAAACTCCAATTATACAGGCATCAGGGTGGAGATCGAACACCTGACCTCCATGCATACCAGGCGAGGAAGATAACATCACGTAGAGCCAGCTGTGGAAATTCCACATCCCACGGACTCGCCCTCTTTCTCACATCACTCTACCCGCCCTTCCCATGCTCTTCACCCCAGCAACCATGGCCTTCGCTCAGCCCCCGTCAACCTTCGCTCAGTGGCAGATCACTCCGCCACTGCTGCCCTCATCACCTGGAACTTGCTCTCCCCAGCAAGTTTGAGCTACGTGCCCCTTGTTCAAGTCTAGACTCAGTGATGCTACGAATGTCACACTCTTTTAATAGTGCTTTGAGATGGAGTTTTTTGCATTAAGATGGTATATGAATATAATTTGTGTCACACTGTATTTTAGAGGACAGATTTTGAAAGTCATAGAAATGACGAACGCGTGTACAGATGTACTCAGAAGTCGGCGTGAAATGTGCATCAATTTATAGATTTAAATAGTTTTGCACACACAATGCAATTTGTATTTATGTTAATAAGCTAAATATGTATGTATGATAATGGAGAAGACGAACCTGTCTAAATCAGAATAAAACATGAAGACAATATAGTAAACAGAATACATTCTAGAAATAAACTTTGACACCAAATCATGTCAATCAAATCGTCAGAGGTGTGGAATATTTAACGTTTGCTCAGTAGCATTGTGCGTGCTAGGTTGGCAGATGAACAGAACAATCATCCACTGTCTCAATGGATCTAAAGGCACACTGGGACCCGCCAGCCAAATCGGTGTAGTTGCACAGGAAGAGTATTGTCCTGTAGTATTGTGGGAAGCAGTGGCATAGCGGATATAAAGGTGGCCAGGCGTGGTTCTGGCCACCCATAGGTAGTTGCTGGCGACACTTGTCAAAAAGTCTGTCAAGGCTATACGGGGCGATCTTTGTCTTTATAATGGTCACGTGATGTTGTCACCTGTCCATCGCTTGTGATACACCAGATCACCCGCGTGCCAACAGAAACCTGCACGACACCAAACTCGTGATCTGGGGGGTCCACCACCACCCATCCTTCACCTGCAATCGCACAACATTGCGGAAGCAAATTAGGAACGGGTCAATGGACTACAACGTTGTTTAACCACGCGCATTGCAACGTTTAGAATTTAGCATTTTAGATATTATTGCATTATGAGGTGTAATTATCAAATTTCCAATCGAAATTTCCTCTATTATAAATTGTGCTATATTATAATAGGAATCTGCAGATTATAGAAACATCTAAAATACAATTGTGTATCTGGGAACTCTCTATTTCATAATTAGTCTGCACTCCCATAACGCAAATTGGATATAACGCGATGAAGGTATTAGGCTTTGATTTAAAGCTTTCGTGACTGCAGTGATTCATATTCTTGGTTCTTTCGGTAAAGTCACGTTGAAGGGAAACAATAAAATAATAAAATATATCATCACACCTGATGATGACTGTTTGTGTTACAGTCGAAACGTCGTGAGAATTTTATTGTTTTATATATATTTTATTATTTTATTGTTTCCCTTCAACGTGACTTTACCGAAAGAACCAAGAATAAGGTATTAGGTAACAAGTTTTTTTTATAACGCAGATGCTAATTGGATATAACCCGATCGAGTGAACAGAACTACATCGCACGAGTAGGAATAAGCCATTGTACAGCTGCCTTGGCGTAGCATCGCACAAGACGGGATGCTGCTGGATGCTTCTAGATGCTACCCACATGCCTCAGTCTTTGTTCAGTCGACATACACATCTAACGTGTTATCGCGGACTGTGCTTTTTACCCTATATTATAACGCAATTTTTCCATAATGTAGTGTTCATCAGGAATGCAACTACCGCGTTATAGGAGAACAGACTCTATATATATTTTTTACAATTCTCTCAATTCTATACGGAAGCCGTGCTGGCCACCTATTTGAATATGTCAGGCAGAGGGGCAGCACTTGGTGAGTGGCGGCGTGTTTACCCATCGGGTTCTTCTGGTTGACACCTTCACGCGCCAGGAGCTTGCCCTCCCACAGCAAGACCCAGACGAGTGAAATGGGCCCTGCGCTCACTTGCAGGGCTTCGCTCGGGATCTCCACCCCGATCCACTCTCTCCCCTCTGGGTTGGAGTGATGCACGTCATCTCGATAGAGCACCTATATATACACACACACACACATCACCGATTGGCACAGTCGACCACGTGCAGTGCGAAAGAAGTTCAACGTCCATACATGCACGATGGTGGCGATGACGATGATGGTGGTGGCGTTGAGGAGGTACCTGCATGATGAGGAAGTGGGGGGTATTGACGTTGATGGTGGTGATGGTGGTGATGTTGATGTGCCCGTCTCGAACGCTCCTCCTTCCGATATTAGGAATCCACTGGAATTATGCACTTTTAAATCATCTACATTTAAATCACCTTTCTTTAGAACTGATTTTTGTGTTTAGTTGTTGTCCTTCCCCACGCACCTCCGATGGGCACGGTTGGTTACGTACGGTGCGAAAGACGTTCAACATGAAGGGCAGACTGACCTCCAGGCTAAAACTAAATTCAACAAGGGGTGGTGCAGTAACCAAACAAAAGTTTAGAAGCACTGGGATAGAGGGTGGCAGTTGGCGCTGTGTCCTCACCTTGCCCTCGGTGGTGACGGCCCACACGGAGAGCCGTCCGGGTGGCTCTTCTGCAAGGTCCCATCCACCCAAACAAACATCGTGGAACAAATCTTGGTACGAACCCTCTTCTTGAACTGGAATCTGAAATACAAAAAAATAACCTCGTGGATACGTGACGCGCGCCAACAGCGGCGTTTTTTTGTTTATCAAGATCAAGGTGCGGTCGTGGCCAAAGCTGTTGACGCTCACCACACCTCACCGCCAATGCTTTCTACCCTCCCCCGCATCCTGCAGCTGCTGCACAGTAGAAACGGCACCTCCAAGATCTACCCTAACAGGGTCCTAGGTCTTCCCCTTGAGACGCCCGACTAATGTAGACCACGCCAAAGCGCGCGTCTTGGCGATCGGCGCGTCTCCCCCCCTCCTGCACACGCTCCTAGCCAGCGCAAGCGTTTTTGTCGAATAACATCGACAACACTCGCATGCAATGTGCTCTTCCGGCTCTTCTCGTGTTGCGCATCATGGCTTGTCACGAAAATCTTAGCATCCATCTCACGTTTGTTTTGCACAGCAGCAGGTATAATGAAGTTCAGGAATAGGTTTTACCCTTTCTGGCAATAGAACAGGTGTTAATATGTTCAAACACCAAATGGATACCTTTTGCAAGGCATCAAGCCTGCATTAAATCGCACACGCTCGTGGAAAAAAAAGATGCCAACAACCATGCTCTGATAATATACGCATTGTCTTTGAAACTGAAAGGGTAAAAAACCTATTCTTATTTTTCATCATTTTTGATACTGGCAAAAAGGTCCCATAGACAAGCCCTGGGTATGTTTTCCAGCACAGAGGCCGTGCTCTAAGCGCGTGCACACAACCGGCGCACGCACCTGAGCCCACTTGTTGATGGCAGTGTAGCGACGGTAGCGGATCCAGCGTCGGCGCCGGACACACGAATTCCAGTGCTTTTTATGGGAATACGGAGCAGGAAAGTCTAAAGCATATGTCCATCCCTGTACGGACACACACAAACAAAAAGATCCGATGTATAGCCTTAACAGGCTGTTGGGGCAAGTGCTGTTGGCGAGCACCTATGAAGGCCGGCACGGCACACGAGGGGGTGGGTGGCCAGCAGTACGCTCGGCTCCTTTTATCTTCCGACTGATGATGTTTACACACCACACCAGGTACTCATTTTAGGCTGAGTCGACCTAGTGGGGGGAGGCATGGCCAATTAACATTATCGTGTTGGCTGTGAGTGGGAATTGAGCTCGGGTCACTGGGTTCTAAAACTAAACAATTTTGTTTTATTGTACCAGGTAAGGGCCCCACTGAGCTATACAGATTTTTTTCAAAAGCGACCTGGCCACAAATGACAGCTCAACGAAGCGGCTTATCACGTGGACATTTACAGCAGCCAAACAATCTAAACGCGTGACGTTGATTCTAAATGTGGAGGGGAAAAAGCCGCAGGACCCGGAGAAAAATCCACGCGACCACGGGGAGAGAGACACCGCAAACTCCAAATAAACAGCAGGAGGCGTCGGTCAGGGTGGGCATCGAACCCACGACCTCCTGCATACCAGGCGAGGTAGTTAACATCCCCTAGCCACCGTGGTGGAGCACGTACAGGTAGGTGGGGTGTTGGTGGAAGACGGCGTTGGGAGCCCGTGTCGGTACGTTGGACTTCTTTCGCGCCGCACGTGGGCCAACCGCTGTATGTTGAAGGCAAAACAAAATACTCGCTCGCAACGAAACATGTGGGGGCCGACGCCGACGACGACGACGGTGGTGGTGGGGAAGCTCGCCTGCGCGTCCGTGGGCTCTCCGGCGATGCTGAGAAACAGAGTCCAGTCGCCCTCCCACTCCCAGGCAGGAGAGGGCAGCCGCACCTGGCCCAGGTACCGAGGGCCGAGTCCGTCCTCGGTGCTCCAGCCCCAGCGATCGCTGGGCAGCAGCTTGCCGCCGAAGCCGTCCACGGGGTTCCATCGCTGATCGGTCGAAAGGTTCCCAAACCGCCGCCGCCGCCGTGGGGGTTATTGGGGGGGGATGCAGCAGAGACACACAGCAGACAAGTGTGTCGCGGGGGGCCAAGCGCTGCTGAGGGGAGAGGTGGTGTGGGTGGGCAACACCGCGCCCGGCCGCCTTTGTCTCCCTATAGCGGCAATGTCTACAGCACACCGCACCTGGTGCTCATTTACAGGTTGAGTCGACCCAGGAGCGGGTCAGATAATCGTCTGCGGCGTTGGTGGCAGCCGTGAGCGGGGATGGAACCCGCCACACCGGGCAGCAGCGGCGTCAGCGGCGTCCCGAATCCACCGGGGGGGGCGGCGGCCCCCCCCCGGCCCCCTCTCCTGGCCCCCCGGCCCCCCTGCTCACCTGCCCGCCCGCTCGCTCGCCTCACCTGGTTCTCGAAGGCCTCTTCCTGTACCCGCACGGGGATGTCCCCGGGCCGCACGAACGCGTAGACGCGGTGGTCGTAGCCGATGGCCCAGCAGCCCTGCGGCCCAGCCGACAGTCGCTTGAGCTCCAGGCGCGGGTCAGGGCACGGCCTCCAGCGGCTCTCGTGCGGGGCCAGCGTGAAGGCGCCACCCCGCACGTCCAGAGCCCAGAGGCGGCCGCCGATCCCCGCCATGAGCGGCCCCGTGGCGCCCCCCTTGCCTTGCTCAGGCCGCCGGGGGAGGGAGGGGGCGGGAGGAGGGCTCCAACCAGCGCCTTCGATCGCGGCAGAGGCGGGAGGCTGCGACGCTCGGCCCAGCAGGGGGCGCAGATGGACCGCTTCCTGTTACCTGCAGACGCTGACGGGCCACCTCCATGCGATTGGTGATAGACCGGTCTGCAAGGTGGTGACGGAGTTCCCTTCAGGTGGTGACAGACTGACCTCCAGGTGGTGACAGATTGACCTCCAGGTGGTGACTGACCTCCAGGTGGTGACTGACTGACCTCCAGGTGGTGCCTGACTGACCTCCAGGTGGTGACTGACTCCCCTCCAGGTGGTGACAGATTGACCTCCAGGTGGTGACTGACCTCCAGGTGGTGACAGACTGACCTCCAGGTGGTGACTGACTGACCTCCAGGTGGTGACAGACTGACCTCCAGGTGGTGACTGACCTCCAGGTGGTGACAGACTGACCTCCAGGTGGTGACTGACCTCCAGGTGGTGACAGACTGACCTCCAGGTGGTGACTGACCTCCAGGTGATGACTGACCTCCAGGTGGTGACAGATTGACCTCCAGGTGGTGACAGATTGACCTCCAGGTGGTGACTGACCTCCAGGTGGTGACTGACCTCCAGGTGGTGACAGACTGACCTCCAGGTGGTGACTGACCTCCAGGTGGTGACAGATTGACCTCCAGGTGGTGACAGATTGACCTCCAGGTGGTGACTGACCTCCAGGTGGTGACAGACTGACCTCCAGGTGGTGACTGACCTGCAGGTGGTGACAGATTGACCTCCAGGTGGTGACTGACTGACCTCCAGGTGGTGACTGACCTGCAGGTGGTGACAGATTGACCTCCAGATGGTGACAGACTGACCTCCAGGTGCTGACAGGCTGACCTCCAGGTGGTGATTGACCTCCAGGTGGTGACAGACTGACCTCCAGGTGGTGACTGACCTCCAGGTGGTGACAGACTGACCTCCAGGTGGTGACTGACCTCCAGGTGATGACAGACTGACCTCCAGGTGGTGTCAGACTGACCTCCAGGTGGTGACTGACCTCGAGGTGGTGGCTGACCTCCAGGTGGTGACAGATTGACCTCCAGGTGGTGACTGACCTCCAGGTGGTGACAGACTGACCTCCAGGTGGTGACTGACCTCCAGGTGGTGACTGACCTCCAGGTGGTGACAGATTGACCTCCAGGTGGTGACTGACTGACCTCCAGGTGGTGACAGATTGACCTCCAGGTGGTGACTGACCTCCAGGTGGTGACAGACTGACCTCCAGGTGGTGATTGACCTCCAGGTGGTGACAGATTGACCTCCAGGTGGTGACAGATTGACCTCCAGGTGGTGACAGGCTGACCTCCAGGTGGTGACAGATTGACCTCCAGGTGGTGACTGACTGACCTCCAGGTGGTGACTGACCTCTAGGTGGTGACTGACTGACCTCCAGGTGGTGACTGACCTCCAGGTGGTGACTGACCTCCAGGTGGTGACAGATTGACCTCCAGGTGGTGACTGACCTCCAGGTGGTGACTGACCTCCAGGTGGTGACAGATTGACCTCCAGGTGGTGACAGATTGACCTCCAGGTGGTGACTGACCTCCAGGTGGTGACTGACCTCCAGGTGGTGACAGACTGACCTCCAGGTGGTGACTGACCTCCAGGTGGTGACAGATTGACCTCCAGGTGGTGACAGATTGACCTCCAGGTGGTGACAGATTGACCTCCAGGTGGTGACTGACCTCCAGGTGGTGACAGACTGACCTCCAGGTGGTGACTGACCTGCAGGTGGTGACAGATTGACCTCCAGGTGGTGACTGACTGACCTCGAGGTGGTGACTGACCTCCAGATGGTGACAGATTGACCTCCAGGTGGTGACTGACTGACCTCCAGGTGGTGACTGACCTGCAGGTGGTGACAGATTGACCTCCAGATGGTGACTGACTGATCTCTAGGTGGTGACTGACCTCCAAGTGGTAACAGATTGACCTCCAGGTGGTGACAGATTGACCTCCAGGTGGTGACAGGCTGACCTCCAGGTGGTGACAGATTGACCTCCAGGTGGTGACTGACTGACCTCCAGGTGGTGACTGACCTCCAGGTGGTGACAGACTGACCTCCAGGTGGTGACTGACCTCCAGGTGGTGACTGACCTCCAGGTGGTGACAGATTGACCTCCAGGTGGTGACAGATTGACCTCCAGGTGGTGACAGGCTGACCTCCAGGTGGTGACTGACCTCCAGGTGGTGATAGACTGACCTCCAGGTGGTGATTGACCTCCAAGTGGTGACTGACCTCCAGGTGGTGACAGACTGACCTCCAGGTGGTGACTGACCTGCAGGTGGTGACAGATTGACCTCCAGGTGGTGACAGACTGACCTCCCGGTGGTGACTGACTGACCTCCAGGTGGTGATTGACCTCCAGGTGGTGACTGACTGACCTCCAGGTGGTGACTGACCTCCAGGTGGTGACAGACTGACCTCCAGGTGGTGACTGACTGACCTCCAGGTGGTGACTGACCTGCAGGTGGTGACAGATTGACCTCCAGGTGGTGACTGACCTCCAGGTGGTGACTGACCTCCAGGTGGTGACAGACTGACCTCCAGGTGGTGACTGACCTCCAGGTGGTGACAGATTGACCTCCAGGTGGTGACAGATTGACCTCCAGGTGGTGACTGACCTCCAGGTGGTGACAGACTGACCTCCAGGTGGTGACTGACCTGCAGGTGGTGACAGATTGACCTCCAGGTGGTGACTGACTGACCTCCAGGTGGTGACTGACCTGCAGGTGGTGACAGATTGACCTCCAGATGGTGACAGACTGACCTCCAGGTGCTGACAGGCTGACCTCCAGGTGGTGATTGACCTCCAGGTGGTGACAGACTGACCTCCAGGTGGTGACTGACCTCCAGGTGGTGACAGACTGACCTCCAGGTGGTGACTGACCTCCAGGTGGTGACAGACTGACCTCCAGGTGGTGTCAGACTGACCTCCAGGTGGTGACTGACCTCGAGGTGGTGGCTGACCTCCAGGTGGTGACAGATTGACCTCCAGGTGGTGACTGACCTCCAGGTGGTGACAGACTGACCTCCAGGTGGTGACTGACCTCCAGGTGGTGACTGACCTCCAGGTGGTGACAGATTGACCTCCAGGTGGTGACTGACTGACCTCCAGGTGGTGACAGATTGACCTCCAGGTGGTGACTGACCTCCAGGTGGTGACAGACTGACCTCCAGGTGGTGATTGACCTCCAGGTGGTGACAGATTGACCTCCAGGTGGTGACAGATAGACCTCCAGGTGGTGACAGGCTGACCTCCAGGTGGTGACAGATTGACCTCCAGGTGGTGACTGACTGACCTCCAGGTGGTGACTGACCTCCAGGTGGTGACTGACTGACCTCCAGGTGGTGACTGACCTCCAGGTGGTGACTGACCTCCAGGTGGTGACAGATTGACCTCCAGGTGGTGACTGACCTCCAGGTGGTGACTGACCTCCAGGTGGTGACAGATTGACCTCCAGGTGGTGACAGATTGACCTCCAGGTGGTGACTGACCTCCAGGTGGTGACTGACCTCCAGGTGGTGACAGACTGACCTCCAGGTGGTGACTGACCTCCAGGTGGTGACAGATTGACCTCCAGGTGGTGACAGATTGACCTCCAGGTGGTGACAGATTGACCTCCAGGTGGTGACTGACCTCCAGGTGGTGACAGACTGACCTCCAGGTGGTGACTGACCTGCAGGTGGTGACAGATTGACCTCCAGGTGGTGACTGACTGACCTCGAGGTGGTGACTGACCTCCAGATGGTGACAGATTGACCTCCAGGTGGTGACTGACTGACCTCCAGGTGGTGACTGACCTGCAGGTGGTGACAGATTGACCTCCAGATGGTGACTGACTGATCTCTAGGTGGTGACTGACCTCCAAGTGGTAACAGATTGACCTCCAGGTGGTGACAGATTGACCTCCAGGTGGTGACAGGCTGACCTCCAGGTGGTGACAGATTGACCTCCAGGTGGTGACTGACTGACCTCCAGGTGGTGACTGACCTCCAGGTGGTGACAGACTGACCTCCAGGTGGTGACTGACCTCCAGGTGGTGACTGACCTCCAGGTGGTGACAGATTGACCTCCAGGTGGTGACAGATTGACCTCCAGGTGGTGACAGGCTGACCTCCAGGTGGTGACTGACCTCCAGGTGGTGATAGACTGACCTCCAGGTGGTGATTGACCTCCAAGTGGTGACTGACCTCCAGGTGGTGACAGACTGACCTCCAGGTGGTGACTGACCTGCAGGTGGTGACAGATTGACCTCCAGGTAGTGACAGACTGACCTCCCGGTGGTGACTGACTGACCTCCAGGTGGTGATTGACCTCCAGGTGGTGACTGACTGACCTCCAGGTGGTGACTGACCTCCAGGTGGTGACAGACTGACCTCCAGGTGGTGACTGACTGACCTCCAGGTGGTGACTGACCTGCAGGTGGTGACAGATTGACCTCCAGGTGGTGACAGACTGACCTCCAGGTGGTGACTGACTGACCTCCAGGTGGTAATTGACCTCCAGGTGGTGACTGACTGACCTCCAGGTGGTGACTGACCTCCAGGTGGTGACTGACCTCCAGGTGGTGAGAGACTGAGCTCCAGGTGGTGACAGGCTGACCTCCAGGTGGTGACTGACCTCCAGGTGGTGACTGACCTCCAGGTGGTGACAGATTTACCTCCAGGTGGTGACTGACTGACCTCCAGGTGGTGACAGATTGACCTCCAGGTGGTGACTGACCTCCAGGTGGTGACAGACTGACCTCCAGGTGGTGATTGACCTCCAGGTGGTGACTGACCTCCAGGTGGTGACAGGCTGACCTCCAGGTGGTGACTGACCTCCACGTGGTGACTGACCTCCAGGTGGTGACAGACTGACCTCCAGGTGGTGACTGATTGACCTCCAGGTGGTGACTGACCTCCAGGTGGTGACAGGCTGACCTCCAGGTGGTGACTGACTGACCTCCAGGTGGTGTCAGACTGACCTCCAGGTGGTGACAGGCTGACCTCCAGGTGGTGACTGATCTCCAGGTGGTGACTGACCTCCAGGTGGTGACAGAATGACCTCCAGGTGGTGACTGACCTCCAGGTGGTGACAGAATGACCTCTAGGTGGTGACAGAATGACCTCCAGGTGGTGACTTACTGACCTCCAGGTGGTGACTGACCTCCAGGTGGTAACAGACTGACCTCCAGGTGGTGACTGACTGACCTCCAGGTGGTGACTGACCTGCAGGTGGTGACAGATTGACCTCCAGGTGGTGACAGACTGACCTCCAGGTGGTGACTGACTGACCTCCAGGTGGTGATTGACCTCCAGGTGGTGACTGACTGACTTCCAGGTGGTGACTGACCTCCAGGTGGTGAGAGACTGAGCTCCAGGTGGTGACAGATTGACCTCCAGGTGGTGACAGGCTGACCTCCAGGTGGTGACTGACCTCCAGGTGGTGACTGACCTCCAGGTGGTGACAGATTGACCTCCAGGTGGTGACTGACTGACCTCCAGGTGGTTACAGATTGACCTCCAGGTGGTGACTGACCTCCAGGTGGTGACAGACTGACCTCCAGGTGGTGATTGACCTCCAGGTGGTGACTGACCTCCAGGTGGTGACTGACCTCCAGGTGGTGACAGGCTGACCTCCAGGTGGTGACTGACCTCCAGGTGGTGACTGACCTCCAGGTGGTGACAGACTGACCTCCAGGTGGTGACTGATTGACCTCCAGGTGGTGACTGACCTCCAGGTGGTGACAGGCTGACCTCCAGGTGGTGACTGACTGACCTCTAGGTGGTGTCAGACTGACCTCCAGGTGGTGACAGGCTGACCTCCAGGTGGTGACTGATCTCCAGGTGGTGACTGACCTCCAGGTGGTGACAGAATGACCTCCAGGTGGTGACTGACCTCCAGGTGGTGACAGAATGACCTCCAGGTGGTGACAGAATTACCTCCAGGTGGTGACTTACTGACCTCCAGGTGGTGACTGACCTCCAGGTGGTGACAGAATGACCTCCAGGTGGTGACTGACCTCCAGGTGGTGACTGACCTCCAGGTGGTGTCAGACTGACCTCCAGGTGGTGACTGACCTCCAGGTGGTGACAGAATGACCTCCAGGTGGTGACTGACCTCCAGGTGGTGACTGACTGACCTCCAGTTGGTGTCAGACTGACCTCCAGGTGATGACTAACTTCCATGTGATAACAGGCTGATTCATCTGCATGTGTTGAGTTCTGTTAATTGGGTCCGTGCACCATCATTGCCAACAAAGCATCACCAGCACATTTGTGGTCAGGCTGTGATGCTGATCTCAAGGTGATAGCACTGATCTCCAGGTGGTGATAGACTGATCTCCTTGTTGTCACTGATTCTTAGTCTGACGACAGGCTGAACAAAGATGTGGTGGTGATTGATTTCTAGACAAACACGACTGCAATGGGGCGCCACAGTGGCAAGATGTCAACTACCTCGCCTAGTATGAAGGAGGTGGTGCGTTCGATTAAGACCCTGACGCCTGTAAATTTGGAGTTTGCACGTGGTAGCGTGGGCATTTCCCAGGTCCCCGGGTTTTTCCCTCCACATTTAGAATCAACATGCGTTTAGAGTGTTTGGCTGTTATAAATGTCCACGTGATAAGCCACTTTGTTGTGCTATATAACTTGTGGCCAGGTCGCTTCTGAAAAAGAGCTATAGTCTTCCAGTGGGCCTCACCTGGTAAAGTATTTGTTTTTAAATAGTTTAAATTAACCCTGCTCGTAGCTATGTTTAAACAGTTGCCCAGCCTGGTCCGAATGTTGCTGTTGTCACAGTGACAGGGAAACCTTGAGGGCAGCAGGCTCTGAGACGAGCGTGGGCGCACGTTTCGGGTAGCGGTACCAATCACGATGAGCACTTTAGAGACTAACCGTTTCGATGCTGGCACAATATTTTGCTCATCAATGTGGACACAACACCGACGTAAATGTAATTGCCAGCGGAAGGATTGTCCGCGTAGAAATATGAAGGTCAGATGTTCAAGTGTGAAAACCGTATTTCAAGAACGCCCCAGAAAATGTTTTAGGTGCTGCGTTGAACACCGCCAAGTTTATTTTTTTGGAGGGGGCGTATTGTGGTGTATATGAGGACACAATGTCACATGACGCCATAGGGTGGCTTAAGCGGCCGATGCATTGTAATCCGTTGCAACCGCTGATCCGCATCTGTCGGCCCACGTACAGTTCGTCCCGTTCCTGTCCGCATGTCAGGGCCACATACGAGAGAAGCTCTGTGGCAAACCAGGCTGCGGCTTCTTGCACGGTCAACCATGACCAGGTCGCTGGACATGTGGGCAGCCAGGTAGATAGGTAAGGAGAGATCCCGGTTTAATCAAAAAAGAAAAAGGTGTGCAGCATGGATGAACGTATTTCAACCGTGATGCAAGCGAGAATTTGCTTCCCGCTGTTTGTAGCCAACGTAGCATTACTCTTGCTGGTGGGAGCCGAAGCACTGGGGCGACAGGAGCAGGCTCCCCCTCTGCGGCTCGTGTGTGAGCCTGCCCCTGCTGAGCCAGAAGCTGGCATCAAGTGCCCCATGGGGCAGTCGGCATCGGGCGGTAAATTCACTCCCGGAGGTCCCACCGATCCCCGCGCTCTCACGCAGCTTCAAGAAGCAATTCTGCAGCAGCGCGAAACCATCATTAGCCAGAAGGAGGTCATCAAGGAGCTGACGGCAAAGCTCAGTGGCTGCGAGGGTGGCCCCGCGGGAGGTGCTTCAGGTGGGCAGGGAGCCGTACGCCCGGCTCGTAGGAAGGGTCTGGCTCACCCGCCCATCAAGGACACGATGGGTGACCCACCAGGAGCCTCCACAGACCACCTGGCACGCAGCCTGCTCGCTCTTTCCCAGCGGATGGAGATACTCGAGGTATGGACACCGGGGTGGCCCATCCACATGGGCCGGCACAAGCACGCACGTGGAACTCCCAATGGATAGTTCACCGTTTGCGGTAATAATTGCGTTTAAATGCCACGCTATCATGGCAGATTTTCTTTTTAACTGGGGATGTTGGGTAAGGTTGCCATGCGTATAAATCCTTTGTTGATGTTCATTTCGCTGTAAACACTTCCCTGAGCACGCATGGGATTTCACGACCGACACGGTTAATAATTTATTACTGGATCAGATCGCGTGATTACGGATAGTTCACTCTTTTCCGGTAATAATATTGATACGCCATGCGTATCAATATTCTTTGGGTCTTTCGGTAAGTCACGTAAATAGGTCATCCTGATGACGACCGCGTGTTGCGATCGAAACGTCGTAGTTTTTTTTGTTATTTTCTTTGAACCTATCTACACGACTTTACCAAAAGACCCAAAGAATATGAATTCCTGCAGTCACGAAAGCTTTCAGTCAATGCGTATCAATCCTTTGTTGATGTTCATTTCGCTGAGTAAAATCCTCAATGAAAGCACTTCCCTGAGCACGCGTGGGTTTATAATTGATTGCTGGGTCAGATTCGCCGTGTGAGAAAAATGTGTTTGTACACCCAGCTCCGCCCGACACAGCCAATTAACAAAAAAAATCTGTACGTGAACGAACTTGAATAAAATCGGCACGTTTGTCCACGTGAACACTTCGTTCATTGCCTGTGTCGGGTGGAGGAGGGTGTGCGACACACATTTGTGTCACGCGGCAATCTGAGACAAACGTTAATTTGTGAATTAACAGCTTTGTAAAACGCGGCAAGGAGGAAGCACAAGGTGTGTGACACATGGGAGATGGGGGGAGTTGGGGTCTTCTACTGCACTAAATGAACATGTATTGGTAATTAACAAGTAATCGTGGATTCTATAGTATACTTTGGTATAAGCTGTGTATTCCCCATGCATGTATGTTGAACTTCATTCGCACCGTACGTAGCCAACCATGCTAATCGGAGGTGCGGGGGAAGGACAACAAACTAAACACAAAAATCCGTTTGAAAGAAATGACCTTATAAAATCTAGATTTAAAAGTGCATAGCTCCAGTGGCTTCCTAATATCGGAAGAGCGTTCCAGACGGCCACAGGGGAGCATCTGAAAGCGCCGCGCGGTGACCGTCTTTGGTCGATGGCTGAGCCAAAATCCGCTGATGCGAGGATGAGCGGAGTTCGCGTGATGGTTTTTGCTCCTTGACAAATTCAGCGAGGTACTGCGGTTCATTTGTGGCAAACACTTCGGGTGTGTAATGAGTGCGACCTGATAACAATGCTTTCGTTTGGCAACCGGAAGTCAATGCAGCTCAGCAAGCACCGGACGACCACGGTCGGATTTTGCAGTACCCGGCAATGACGCGTGTCCAAAGCATTTTGTACAAGTGTACCTATTAGTACGTCATGTGTTACAATTTGCCCGTTAACGCGTTCACCCTGGGCATGTAAAGAGTGGATTTTGATAGATCAAGGCTTATCTCCTTCCCGCATTCATGTCACACAGACGGAGAGAGTTATTTGCAAGCGGCTGGGTTCATTGATGTGTGCCCTGTCTTAAGAAGTCAAACATTAAAATGTAGAGAATAGCGATGTATCATCTTACGCTCCCTGCAATTGGAATGCACAGTGCGCGCTCCACTCTCTTTTAGGTCTTGCCAGCTAAGTTGAAGTCAACGATTGTTTTTTTCCTCTCTTGCAAAATCTCGTATAAAATAACAATACATGCCAATCGTGAACTGTATATTAAATAATGATTGTGGTAGAATTGTTGAACAAAGTCTATGATGTACGTATTGTAGTTTATGTAAGGAAATGGTGTGTTCATGACTGTATTTAGATGAAATGTTCACTATGTGCCTTACATTATATGCAGTACAGTCTGTTTCCCATAACGCCGTGTGTCGTTTTCATAACGCGAATTGGATACAACGCGATTAATGTATGAATGAACACGTTTAAAAATATATATATAACGCGGACGCGAATTGGAAATAACGCGATTGAGTGGATGGAACGATGTCGTGCGAATGGGAACGAGCCGAGCGGTTGTAACGGCTGCCACGGTGCAGCGTCACACGAGGCGGGATGCTGCTGGATGCTTCGAGATGCTATCCACACACCTCAGTCTTTGTTCGGCCTGTGTTACGCATCTCACGTATTGTCGTGGACCGTGCTTTATGGGGCCGTCCATAAATGACGTCACGCACCTAGGGGGGGGGGGGGGTCAGACATTTGTGACGATGTGTGACTTTACCGAAAGAACCAAGAATATGAAGCCCTGCAGTCGCGAAAGCTTTAAATCAAAATTTAACTGCCTCTACGGGGAGGGTTTCCACATAGCTTTCAGATCCTTCAACAAACTCCGGGATAAGAAGGCTCAGCTGGTCGAGTTTCTCACCTTTCTGAAGAGATGCCGTGACTCTGGGGTAATACCAATCGCATTTACACTGACCTTTGCTGCTGTAACTTCTTCTAATGCGAAACGAATTCTTTCCAGAACTAGCTTAGCTCTTATCTCAGAGAAAATCAGACTTATACGCACCAAACTAGATCAGTTAGACAAGACACTCTTCAAATCACACTTATCATTGACGGCAACAATGTCCACATCGGATTGGGAACATGTAGACAATATGACTGCCTCTTCAGCTGCCACTGTCGACCAAATGTAAGGACAACCTGATTTCCAAATTTAACCTCCTCTCCAACAAAAGACCGGATCCACACACCAAAAAGCTAGACGTTAACAAAGTCATAATTAATCGCAGTGACAGTTCTATTTCCGATGGTCTGAAATCCGATTTAGCTAAAGGGCTAAACTTTGCAGTCACACCTAGACTCATACCAGTTAATGATATCATTGCCCAAGTAGACGTGGCTCTCAAGGGCCTGGGTCACATCGCTGCAGACGTAGCAAGATCTAAAATCGCTGCAACCCTCAAAAACGCTAAGATGCCAGCTAGCAACCTCAGCAAAGATGAGCGTTTTGAATTATATAAATTAAAAAAGAGGGATGACATTGTCATCCTCTCAGCCGACAAGGGCAATGCCACTGTCATCATGGATAAAATAGAATATAACAACTAAATTCAATAATTACTCAACGATGGCAGCTATACAATAATAAAGACAGATACCACCAACAGCTGCATCATACAAACCAACAAAATAATTTCTGATTCAACCGCATTAATTGATCAAACCAAACAGTTCACGTTGAAACCTCCTGCTACCAGGCCACCAAGATTATACGGCTTACCAAAAATACATAAAGTAGATACACCCCTTCGTCCCATCGTCTCTACTATCAACTCCCCCACCTACAAACTGGCTCGTTTTCTGTCTGAAATCCTGCGGCCTTTCACTGGAAAAACCACCTCTGCGGTACAAATTTCTACTCACCTGGTAACGACAATCAAGGGTATTTCCCTGTCCCCAGATGACCTGCTTGTCAGTTTTGATGTAGATTCCTTATTCACCAAAGTTTCTGTACCTGACACCATCGCAATCATTGAAGACTTGGTTCATCAAGGACTAAACACTGAGGTACCCCCCTTGGGGGGACACTGCTGAACCAATACATACTTCACTTGGAATGGAACTTTCTACAAACAAACTGAGGGCACCACAATGGGCTCCCCCCTATCTCCGGTTGTAGCCAACATTTTCACGGAGAAATTTGAGACTGACGCCATCCAGACTGCCACTCTACGCCCGACCTTATGGAAGAGGTACGTTGATGACACCTTTGTCATCTGGCCACATGGCCGGCCTGCTCTAGACCAATTCCTCGACCACATCAATTCCTTACACCCAGCCATCAGATTTACCATGGAAGTCGAAAAAGATGGCAAGCTACCTTTTTTGGATGTCCTAATAAAAAAGAGACCTGATGGTTCAATGAGCCACTCGGTCTACAGGAAAGCTACCCATACGGATGCTTACCTGAAACCTGATTCCCACCACCATCCATCACAGAAGAATTCCCTCATCAATACTCTGCACCATAGAGCCCAATGCATATCCGACCAGGAACACATAGCCAGTGAACTCAAGCACGTACACCAAGCTCTTAAGGCTAATGGTTACTCCGACTACACAATCCGCAAAGCTATCACTCCAACCATGAAGAAGGACCCTCTTGAGGAGCCATTCAAAACCATCACTTTACCCTACATTGCGGGGATCACAAAAAAGATCTCCAAAATCTTGAATAAACACAAGATGCAGGTCCGATTCAACACATTACATGAAATCCGTGATCTAGTTCCGTCTGTAAAAGATGTGATTCCGGACATACAGTACCCTGGCGTCTACAAACTAAGTTGCCTTTGTGGTAGTAGTTACATTGGAGAAACCAAACGACATGTCTCGGACCGCATCCGTGAATACAAAGCAGACCTAAAACACGTAGGACCAACACCTCGGCCGTGGCAGATCACTGTTATAATTCAGTAGGCTCACATGACATTGACTTCTCCAAGACAGAGGTTCTCTGCAAGCCATCTGGCTACCATGAGAGATTCGTTCATGAGGCTATCCACATATACAAACACAGAGACAATTTCAACTGAGAAGATGGATTCTGGCTTAGCAATCATTGGAAGGATTTGATAAACCATTTCGGGTCTTAATTGATTATTCACGCTTACGGTGGCTTTCAGACCGCATCCATTTTTTTCGTCTCCCCCCTCCTCTTTTCCGAACATAGATGGACTCGTCCATCTGAATAACTGCCAAATCGCTCTCCGTGGTGCTAACTTTAAAAAAACACCACTTTTTTCAAATTTTCTTGCTGTGGTTTTCACACCTGATGATGATTGCTTGTGTTGCAGTCGAAACGTTGTGAGAATTGTATTGTTTTATAGTTTTATTATTTTATTGTTTCCCTTCTACGTGACTTCACTGAAAGAACCAAGAATATAGATGGGGGGGGGGGGTTGAGAAATGTGACGTCACATCAAAAGTTAAGGGCAACCTGAGTCACCCAGTGACAACAAAGAGAGTTCATGATTTTGTAATGTTGGCTGATATCGAATTCTTTACAGTATTTGGAGGCATCAGTTGAATTTCCCCTCGCCAGGTGGTTCAGCGCCACGGTGGCTAGGAGATGTTAACTACCTCGCGTGGTACTACAGGAGGTCGTGGGTTCGATCCCGACCCTGATGCCTGTATATTTGGAGTTTGCATGTGTCTCTCCCCCTGCTCTTGTGGATTTTTATCCGAGTCCTCCAGTGACGATTATCCGAACCGGTCCTGGGCCTCCCCTAAGTCGACTCGGGCTCGAATGAGTACCTGGTGCGGTGTGTAAACATCGCCACTAGGGAGACAAAAGCGGTCGGGCGTGGTGCTGGCCACCCACCCCCTCGTGTGCCATTCCGGACCTTCATAGGTGCTCGCCAACACAGTCTGCTAAGGCTGCACGGGGGATCTTTGTCTTTGCGCGTGCGAACACTGCGTTGCAGCAACAGCAGGAGAACGTGAGTGTGCGGCCGGTGAACGTGGCCGGACTCCAGGCGCTGCTGTCGGAGCACGTGGAGCAGCTGGGAGCTCGTCTCCTCGCCCGCGTGCAAGCGCACCTCACGGGCCAGTTGCGCGCTCACAACGAGACGGTGTTGCAGCGGGCGGTGTTCGAGGCGCAGTTAGCTGAGCTTGCGCGAAAGGTGTCCGAGTTGGAGCGAGGTCTGTCACGCGTGCAGCATGACCACGGGCGGCTTCTTTTGTGTGTCGGATTTTTGTGTTGTCCCAACATTCGTGCAGGGCAGCGTAAAAAAAAAGGTTGCCACGCTTCGTAAATGCCAGCCCTGTGGTCAGTGGTTATGCTTGTTATTTAAAATTGACCCTTTGCGATTATGCAATGCTCGGGGCTTTTAACGAGGGCAAAGCAGTTGTGAATGTAAATATTACCAGTGTGAGCGGTGTTCTGTAAGCGCACCATATGTCTGATTGCAAATCTTGCGTGTGCCTTGAAATTTCACTTTTAAATTATGTATGCCTGTTACGTGTGGCAACACGTTTGATTTTGACATAATTTGCAAATAAAAAATGGTATTCAGTTGCGTAATTTGGAGCCAGCAAATTATGCAGTGATATGTCGTAAACCATGAAAGAGTTATGTGATCTGAACTTAGCTCGTACTTATTAGTAGTTATTCATGAACTGACTAGAACTAACGTAGACTTAAATTGTCTTTTATGTATGCCAGGCCGCCCTTGTATGCCTAGTTGCAAATCCTAAAGTGTTGTGATGCACGTGAAATTTCATTTCTTACAGCAGGAGTGCCAGGCCTCAATCCTCCGGGCGAGTTCAAACTGTCCTTACCGCTCCGAACCAACTATATGTGCGGACGCTTTGAAGAGACGCTGCCTGAGCTGTACGCAGTGACCATGTGCATGTGGCTTCGGGCTGCCCCTGGAGCTGCTGGGCTAGGAACGCCGTTTTCTTATGCTGTTCCGGGCCAGGCCAATGAGCTTGTGCTCATTGAGTGGGGGAACCATCCCATGGAATTTCTGGTCAACGATAAGGTAAAAGCCGTAACTCTTCCATTGCATAATCGTCATCGTAGGAGAAGATTTGGGACATCGCGTGCCAGCATCATGGTCCAAATGTTTTGAATTTGGGAGAAAGAACGACTTGGAAATTACTTAATTGGGAAACACTTCGCCATCGTGATTACGAAAATATAGGACCCTTCTGAAAAAGAGATGAGACTGAGGCTTTCTTGGGGAAACAAGCAATATAATAAATGATCTATTCTCGTCAATTGATCCTCATGGTGGTACCCGGGGTACCAAATGATACAAAATGGCCGAGGCAATTAAATATTTTATTTCTGGGACACTATTTTCTTCAGGGGTGTACTTCACTCCACGACTGGGGTACCAATCAATCCGAAATCAGTGCTACTCCGCGATGTCGAAACGCAGTAAGGATAATTGCGCTGAAACCCTGAACGCTCGTACGCATCGTAGTGGTGTATCGTGTACAGCTCGTCAAGATGAGTCGATTGCCGCATCGCCGACCATCAGACTAAAAATGACTGCATTACGGACATTATGCGAGGGGATACCACCGTAAGGTTCAATTATCATTATGGCTCCATATCATATCTCAATGTGGCAAAAAGGAGCATCATTTTAAAAAAGGACGGCAACGATTATAAAATTCCAATTAAAAATCTTTGATTTTCAACGCTATTTATAATGTTGGACAATTATCTCTAATGCATTACATTATTGCACTAGAGATAATTATTTTACCCAAGTACGATGAGGCTTTCCCATGTTAGCAGACATATGCAGACATATGTAGTCCATTTTACAAAGACAAGGTATTCCTTGCCGTGGTAGATCTTGAAATTTGCAAAAAATATTCAAATAAAGTGACTCAAATCTACCAAATATAGAATTTAGGCACTCGAGCCAATTGGGATTATTCATGAAAAATTTGATGTGCCTCATGTGTAGCTCTGATTAGCAGGGTTGGCTGTGTACAGTGCTAAAGAAGTTCAACATACATGCATGCGATATGATAACATAAATACAGTCGACCCTTCTGCATCGCGACTTTCCCCATCGCGGTTTCGATATATCGCGGGGTCGGCATAAGAAATGAAATGGGAATTTTTTGGGAGTTTTTTTGGAGTTTTGCAAAGGCCGCAGACGACACACAAAGGCCAACAGACGACACACACGAAGTTTAGTAACTCATAAATGCATGAAATATATGTACAGTACTGGATAATATTAATGTTTAATCTTTGAATACCATAAATATACGCAATTTTTTAAAAGTAAAATTGTTTAAAAAAATGTAGTTTGCGAAAAGAACGCAAAAGCCAGCAGACGACACGCAAAGGCTGGAAATGTAGAGATAACTTTAAAAAGTTTAACTGGAGGTGCTCGCTTCGCTCGCCAAGGAGACCAAAACATTTTATGCGTTTTTTCCAGATCGTTGGGGGCCTGTGCCCCTAACCTCCGCGATGTGGAAGGGTCGACTGTATTCATTTCGTAGATTTTATGCTTAATTGTTATTGTTTCACAACCTTGAACTGAGCTGTCTGGCTTGCGAAACTCTGGCGCCTGACACCGATAATCCTTTGGCTCACGCAGGTAGCCCAGCTACCGCTGTCTGTTAACGATGGTGGTTGGCACCATGTCTGCGTAACGTGGACCACTCGGGATGGTGTGTGGGAAGCCTTCCAAGACGGTGTACGCCGTGGTGTGGGAGAGGGACTCGCTCCCTGGCATCCGATTAAGCCGGGTGGTGTGCTCATTTTGGGCCAAGAACAGGTATGGAAAATTAAATTAATGAAAATTAAATTAATTGTAAGAGTCAAATTCTGTGCAGAAATCTCACGTTTCAGGGCATATTCTGACAGACCTCAGATGCGAACTAATGATATTTCACCCCCTTAAAATCAAGCTGGCGAACCTCTCCATTTTGTAGGGGAATTCCAAGGATGTCCTCATATCTGAAAAACGGCGGACTACTTTAAGCTACGCAGCCGAGCAGTACTATGCAATACAGTATGCGGAATGATACAATAATGCGGCGGTGTACCCTCACTTATTTGTCCCGCCATCTTACCGTGTCCATCGTATCTCGACAAACTTTGTTACATTATTTATGGGAAAATTGTTTTCACTTTTCACAAACGCATCTACCGTGTTAAACGAGGGCTTACTGTAGTGGTGAGCTCAGTGGTCAGTTTTGTAGCAATTTATTTAGAGATTTTAAGTCTTCACGAAAACATCAAGTGTCCTTATATGGAGAGATGTAATATTTTACAGATTTAACAGCTACCTGAAGAATCTGGCCTAAATCGTCTCATATACGGTATGAGGTTTACATGACCATTAGATATGAGAGCCAGACCATGGCGAGCCATTTCAAGAACTGCCCAGCAGGGTCCTTTTGTTCACCAATTCAAGAACCACAGTTCTAAATTTTGATTTAAAGCTTTCGTGACTGCAGTAATTCATATTCTTAGTTTTTTCGGTAAAGTCATGGTCGAAACGTCGTGAGAATTTTTTATTGTTTTATATATATTTTGTTATTCTGTTGTTTCTCTTCAACGTGACTTTACCGAAAAAACTAAGAATATGAACCACAGTTCTGTTGCATGGCCGCCACTATGTACCTGCACTGTTGTGGTTCCCTTCCTCGATGGTTGGAGGGGAAGTGATAAGAATTTTGTATTTGTTCACAAGGTTGCACTTATATTTGGACTAGTTTAGGCTAACCAAAGCCAATATGTATACCGTATGTAATTTTCTGTGGTGTTATTTGACAAAGACGCAACTCTGAATTCAACTTTAATTCAGGACTCCAGGACTGAAATTATTCTTTTGCGTTGACCCCGTTGGCATCACAGCCGTTTACGACGGCGGTTCAGGTGCTGGGTCAACTTTCGAAATGACGAAATTGGATGCGGAAACCGAGTTGGATTAGCCCAGCGAGGCTGCCTTGGGAACTTGGCTCGACTCCAGCTGCCTGGTGTTGGAACTGGGCGGCTCGTTCAGCGACCATGGGAATGTGGCATTCATTTATGGATCTAACCCAAAATAACCTCCTATGGATAATATTGGTCACGAAAGCCTACTACTACGTGTTAAACATACATTTTAATATTGTTTCTTGGGGTTATTTTTTATGTAGATGCTGTATAAATTTCAAATTGTAATGACTATTACAAAACATTCTAACACTGAACAGTTAATATATAAGGGTGCATACACCGTCCCGCACCTCCGATTAGCCCATAGACTAACACTACCCATAAACTCACCGACCATAGACTCAACACCGCAGCTCCGATTAGCACGGTTGACTACGTACAGTTCTAAACAAGTTTAACATACATATTTTATTCTATATTTTTAATGTAAAATTAATAGTTTGCTTAAAGATTCCACCCCGATAAATTAACAGCAAAGTGACCTGAGGTTTAACACAATTCCCTGATCATAAGACATGTTTGTGACACTGCATTGGCAGTGGTATACAAGCACCAATAACCTTGTCAATAAAAAAACATTTCGGTGACATTTCGGGCAATTTCCCTTCTGTATGTATCCATGTTGAACTTTTCACACCGTATGTAGTCAGCCGTGCTAATGGAAGGTGCGGGGAGGACAATAAACTAAACAGAGCACGTGATTTCAAGAAGTGCCTTCAACAAAACTGTTGGCTGTTACATCTATTTTGCCTTTTAGGGCAGTGTTATTGACAAACCTGTCGAATTGTCAATCGTAAGAGGTTAGCGTTCATATTATTTCGCTGAACGAAACCTTGCAAAATAATATAATATATCATAGATATTTTTTTATTTTATTTTTCTACCCACGTGACTTTACCGAAAGAACCAAAGAGTATGGATTCTTGCAGTCACGAAAGCTTCAAATGAAGATTGAAACCTTGCAAAATTATCATTTTACCTGGGTTTTTATTCCCGATTTGGATGTTTTATCCTCTGCAGGACACAGTGGGTGGGCGCTTTGACGCCACGCAGGCTTTTGTTGGGGAGCTCGCGTATTTCAACCTTTGGGACCGCGTGCTGGCCCCTGCGGAGATGGCCTCCATGTGGAACTGCTCCGGCAATCCGTCTGGAAACATCCTTTCTTGGACCGGTGAAACGGTGCAGGTCGTCGGAGGGGCCGCCATGAGGCCTCTGGAGCCATGCCCTGAGCGTGTCTACTCGTAGCAACGCCATTCACAACGCTCACACGAAAAGTGCATGCCTGTAAATCCAACATTTGCAGTACTCCAAATTACGAGAAAACGCCATCACAACAGGAAAATGCATGCAGACTTGAAATATATTTGACAACTATAGGTGTGCTGCTCACAAACAGCAGGGAGGCATGATTCCCATTCATCACTGCACACGAACCTACATCGTGGAGCACACATTGACAACCTATGCACCATGGCCCACACATCGCTACCACATTGTTAATACATGGACCACGTTAGACAAACACATTGCACATCACAAAAGGAAAATGGTTAATATTTTGTTGTGTTATGCATTTTTCCTATTTTTTCCATTCCTTGCCATCAATAAAATACCGAAATCGTCATAAATGAGGCTAGTCTGTAGAAATCTTGATACCTGATGATCATCATGCTAACCACCAAATCATGCCGTGCAGACATGAGTAATATCCTCGTTGCTGCCTATTTTATGCAAGAATTACAATGCTGTAATCCTTCGAACTACGTCTCCCCCTTTTGTCATTTCTCAAACACGTCGTGACTTTACTTTACTACTGTACCACTGCCCACACGTCACCGACAGCATCGTCCGTCCTGTCTGGTATCCGTCGCCTCTCAGCCTTTGCCTCCACCTACCGTGCGAATTGTTTTTTTTTATCGACGTCGTTTGACAGTCATCGTCACACCTTTCTGGAAACGCATCCCCGACGTAAACCGGGGTAGTACTGTAGTACATTCTGTGCAGACCTGACTATGCACCATCCCTTTAAAAAAGTAAAACCCCTTACTGTTATGTCATTCGCCTAAATCTAAACAGAAAATATTCCAAAGTTAATTTTAAACAATATTCGTGCCCCACGCGTAGCCAATTATTTCTCAGAACAGGAACCAATCAATTCACGAAAAAACAATTATATTTGGTTCAGCACTTAATTTGGGAAAACATACAAATCCGAGGATCACAAAAAAAGTATATTCATCTGACAAACATTACTTTGTGAAGCAGCACGGGTGGGAAAGTGCTGCTCCCAACTGTGTGAATAAAGCTAAATAACCATGCACATTGTGGAAGTTGCATGTGAAAGAAATAAGCAATCGTCTCCTTCGTTTGTCATCTGTCAGAGCATCTCATCAGCAGTCATGATCGAAAACCGGTCTGGGGTTTGCGTATATTGAATCAATGCTGCACTTAGAACTTCGTGGTGTTTTGTTAAAGGAATTTTTGTATTTCATTTGGAGATGTATGAATTGGACATTGTCATAGTATTAGTAGTGCCGTGTAAATGAGGTCAGTTGAAGGTATTTCAGAAGTAGTTTGACATCTTCTGCAGACCGTTCTTTAACATGGGGCGACACGCTGCTCTGCAAAAATTGTTCATCATGACATACTAATAGGGGGAAGGCAAAACATGTTCTAACACGCTCGACTAGAATTTTATATAGCTCTCTTTTATGCCCCCAATAGTTTGTTTTGGGGTTAGATCGCATGTGTCGTTAAACCCACCACCACCCGACACAGCCAACTAGTAAGGGTTGTCACGTAAACAGAACGTGGCCAATTCGTCACTAGTACAGCACACCGGTGTGTTGGAGAGCCCAAGCCACATCATTTACAATCCGAGTACGACGTTTCACCAGTAATTACAACTTGCTTCATCAGGCGATAGCCAGATGTGGAGAAGTCCACCTATTTCGTTTCTTATATAGAGGCGTAGATGTGGTTGCAACGGTGCGTCCTCTTTGGACATGCTTGAGGGTTTCAGTCTATACCGGAAACCCTAGGAAGCATCGCTGTGGTTTCGATTATTGTGGGGCCCCTGTGTCACACAACGCCCCAAATGACCGTGTGCAGAATACAAGACCGCTGCCAGTATATGCCAGATTTAGTGTTTACTTAGAACTTCAATTTTAAACACGTTTTAAATTATACCATTGGAAACCTCATTTGCCAGTAACAAAATATGATCATTGTTTTTTACCCTTTTATCTGGCAACAAAACTGACATCTTTTTTACAAGGAGTCATGTTTACATTGACTGCTTGTAAAAAAGGTGTCAGTTTTGATGCCAGATAAAAGGGTAAAAAAACAATTATCATATTTTGTTACTGGCAAATGAATTTTCCAATGGTGTAAATGCTTACCCCGAGCTCTCATACTCTGATGGTGCATTGTCTTTGAGTTGTGCGCCTTTTGGCGTCTTCTGGTCCAACACCATGTGAGACGAGGCTCTAAAGAAAGCTGTCTCGGGTGTGGACCAATCAATTTCAAGGACAGTGCATACATTATCAGAGTTGTTTTTTTGTTTGCGTTCCGACCGAAGGTATTGTGTTCAATGTAAACATGACTCCTTGTAAAAAAAAGGTATCAGTTTTGTTGCCAGATAAAAGGGTAAAAACCCAATTATCAAGTTTTAAATTGTCAAATGGTAACAGGACTGCTACTTCTCCGGAGGAGTGCACACATCACAAGCAATTATAACCAACCCAAAATGGTCCTCGCAACAGCACAAGTCACAACAACCCAACCACCACAGCTTCAGATTTCCTCCACCACGAACACTGGTGGGAGCGAGCTGCTGAGCAAACCCCGAAGCCACGCGCGTAGTATCACCCGACTCTGGAACAGACCAAACAAGACGTTGCAAGCACCACCTCAGAGGATCACCTTCCTCCCCACACGTCCCAGCTGTCAACGCCCCGCAGTCCTCACGAAGCGTTCCCTTCACGGCAGCAGTAGCAGGTGGTTCGCCGTGATGCCTCACACCTGGCTCCAAAAACGATGGGTGGAGACGACCCCACTGGTGACTGGACCAGCCGTCCACTTGCAGAACCCCAGTCGATCGTGCCTACCGGCCAGCAAGTGGTTACACTGCAACAACAAAAAAAGGTTGTTCCTGGGTAGTGTTATTTACTTATTGCTTACGCCTCAAAAGTACAGAAAATTGATATTATTCCCCACAAACTTTGCTTTTGCGACCAGGACACTGATATTTTAAAATGTACATATTTTCAATGAAAAAACATGCGCATGTGTGTCTTCCAGTCACATAAAGTCCTGGTCACAAAATCAAAGTGTGAGGGAACAGGCATTGTCTATACTTTTTATGCATAAGAAATTAAAAAAATAACACTTCGTACCCAGGAACAACAATTGTGTTACATAGTATTATCACCCCCTGGCTGGACTCCCAAGGAGATGGTTGCGGTGCTGAACCACAAAACACGGCTGGTTCCCGGGCCGTGGACGAGGGGGAGTTTCCCCGTGGTCGGCAGTCTCACGTCTCGAGCACAGCAGCCACATCGTGCAGGATGAGGAGGAGGACGCAGGATGAGGAGGGAGGGCGCAGGATGAGGAGGGCGCAGGGTGAGGAGGAGGGCGCAGGATGAGGAGGGCGTAGGATGAGGAGGGCGCAGGATGAGGAGGGCGCAGGATGAGGAGGGCGCAGGATGAGGAGGGCGCAGGATGAGGAGGGCGCAGGATGAGAAGGGAGGGCGCAGGATGGAATCCCCGCCACTGCAGTTCCGTGGCGGGCCCTTTTATTGAGTCACACCCTTGTTTGTTTTTTTCAAAATTGATCATCACGGCGTGCACATGATGAGTCCAATCCGTCGTGCTCCCGAGCTGATCTCATCCCACACACACCTACAACCACCTTCGCACAAAGCCCCCCCCACCCGCCGCACATTTCCTCACTCCTCCTCAACCAAGAGACACCCTGCCCCCAAAGCTGTCACTCTGACTGCCACAGTGGTGACCACACTTCTGCGCTCTTGTGCAAAGTGGGGGCGAGGGATTAATGAGTCAACGCACATTATGCATGCGCATTATGCGAGACACTTTGATCTTGTCCTTCCAGTCCATTGTGTGTTTTAAAATAGCCGTTTTGAAGTATGGTGGCCTGTATAGGCATGCATTTAAACAATTTATCATCTTATTCTTAGTTCTTTCGGTAAAGTCACGTTGAAGGGAAACAACAAAATAATAAAATATAAATAAAACAATAAAATTCTCACGACGTTTCGACCATAACACAAACGGTCGTCTTCAGGTGAAGACGACCGAAATAACTAATAATATGAATTACTGCAGTCACGAAAGCTTTAAATCAAAATTTATCATCTGTGATTCGCTTCCACGCAGCGCTAAGTCGGTAGCTATCCAATAGATTAAAGGAATGTCAGACTAATGTTAAATATGTCCTTACTATTACCCTCGATTATGTTACAAAGTCATTTCTGATTTTAGAGATTCCTTTTTTAACATACCTAATATATTGTGCAATATGTACGTATGTATGTTGAACTTCTTTCGCACCGTATATAGCCAACCCTGCTAATCAAGAGGATGTGCGGAACAAGTGCAACCAACATTTACAAACGATAATCGCATGCCAATTGTCTGACTAAAATACAGCGACACGAAAATGTCACTGAAGGTGTGCTGATAAACGTGGAGCGTGCGCTTCTGTTTGCCTTATGGGAGGCCCTGTTGTGGTGGTGGTGGTGGTGTTTGCGGAGGCCTTTGAGGTGCGCAGCTGAAACTGTTGCAGTGCCGCCTATCAGCAGCTTCCATCTATTTATAGATCGAAAATAATTTCTTTAGAATTCCTTTTTGTGTTTCGTCTAAAGTCCTTCCCCCGCACCTCTGTTTCGCACGGTGGGCTACATATGGTGCGAAAGAAGTACAACATACATTCGTGTGTCAAAAAGTTATATATTTTCAAATGTGGGATTTCCCTTACAGTTTTTAAAGTATAAACTGCACATTGTTGTCTAATTTTCCGATTTAACTATTACTTTAAACACTTTTAGAACACTTTATTTAAATGTATGTAGAATAGGGTACATGCATATACATTCATTCAATACCTGCTGACTGGTTGAGTGATGTTAGTATTTTTGTCATCAAACACTACATACAATTTGGCATGTTAAGAGGTTACAAATTGCAGAGTTACGGAAAACGATAAAAAAACCATTTGACCCCATCAAAGGGGTAATAGATACGAGTAATGTTAAACATTGAACAGTTCATAATTATAGAGGTATGGCCGATTGCAGGTAACATATCTGGGCCAGGGAGGATGGGCAGAGTCGCACAGAGAGGTTCTGGAACCATCGGGAAGGTTCCACGAGGGGGCGTGGCTAGAGGCGGAGCCTAGCTCCGCCGGGGTGAATATAAGGAGAGGGAGGGGAAGACTCGTGGTCGGTGTGGGAAGCCTGGGTTCCGGACCGCATCGCTACTCATCCCCTCCTCGTCACGGGCCACATGGCGGATCCTCCAATGGAGCTCACCCCTCCTTCCGGCGCGCCTTCAGTCAGCGGCGAGGCCGGGGGAGTGGAGTGAGCCACGGGGGTACTTGGAGAGGGACGCCTCATCTACGGTGTTAAGAAGAGGGAAATCACCCAGAGGGGGAGGGAACGGAGCTGTGCTATACTACCGTTAATTAAAGAAGCACTCTGACAAGCATCGTCGTGGAAGTCTTTTATTACATTGGTGTCAGAGGTGGCCCTTCAAGACAAGACGTTACCAAGGGTGAAGTATGTTTAAAAACCTCAGGAAGAAGAACCCACCTGTTGGGTCTTCCGATGATGAGGAGGTGGAGACCCAGGACCGGCCGATCCCTGGATCCGTGGTCCCGGTCACAAGCACCATGGATGGGGAAATTGCCGCTCCAGAGGTGGGCGGTGCGGTCGCGGCTCCTCCGTCTTCACGGGTCGATGACGACGGCTGGAAAAGGGTGGAGGAGCAGCTTGAGTCGCTGCGGGGCGTACTTCTCCAGCTGGTCTCGCTCGTCGCTACGTCCATGGTGGTGGAGCGTCCGCTTGAATCGTCCTCAGGAAGCGGCAATCGGGGGTCCGAGGCGGCGATTCCGACGAGTTCCCCGGCTGTGGTGAGGTCCGCCATCGCACACGCGGAGGGGGCCTCCACCATTGCGCGCGTGGAGGAGTCGTCCGCCATTGCTCACGCGGTGGGGACGCCCGCCATTACGCGAGTGGAGTCGCCCGCACGGCTGGACGCCACCACCTTGGACAGTGCAGCGAAGGCGGGTTCGGAACCCGCCATTTACGACGGGCTGTGTGCTGTCGAGGGT